CCGCTGTGTGACTTTGTACAATCCACCTGCCATTTCTGAGCCTCAGTTTCTTTCGATGATGGGCTAATACATCAAGATTTCCGGAGAGCCTTTTGAGAATATATGAAACTGATCTGTGTCCAAGAACAATGGTCTCAACTTACATGCCCTTCCAGGGCCTTCCTCAGCCTGTACCAGACTCGTTCCACAGGGCTTCCCTGATTGGGTCTAGAGGGTTGGAACATGAAGGTCCCATTAAGCCAGGCATCAAGCCTGGTGGGTACCTCTGGCGGGTCGTTCAGAGGTGCCAAGTTGAAGACCGGGTCTCAGTACCTTGGCCTCAGCTGAATGCCTGTGTCCACCTCTGCTCCTTTCCCAGCCCCAACACTGGAGCTGTCAGCCAGTCACTTTACGGTTACAACTTACGGAGCACTTCCCTACCCACCCCCGTTCTGGTCTCCACCAGGTGGCACAGAGAGGACAAGCCTCCGTCAAGGTCACCTAGCAAGTTGGGGTTGAGTCTCAAAACCAGGTCTCCTGAGGCCCTGCAGGGAAGAGGACCCTTCCATCCCTATTTTGTGGTTTCCGCATCCATAAAGCAGGGATATATGGTATCTACCTCCTAGGGTTTTTGTGGGAAATAAGAGGGTTTATATATGTACAGTGCTTAGAACAAGGCCAGGCATGTAGGAAGTGCTCAATAGATGTTAGCTGCTGTCACCATTATCGGTACCACACTGCCTCTCAGGGTGGGGGTAAGGATTCACTGAAATGCTCCTTGGGGGTAATAATAATAATAAAAAAAAAGGTTTGCAAACTCTGAAGTAATTGACAATTTTAAATATTAATTAACACATCCTGGACTGGCAATATTGAGCAGACTGTTCTAATCTATTGAGCTAAGGACATTTCAAGCTAAAACCCGTATTTCAGGTAATTAAATAAAGGGAACAGCTAGAGGAATTTGGGTATAGTTGGACTCATTTCCGAGAGGGCCCCAGGTAAACTCTTTTGTGGCAGCTGTGTGACATAAGTCACCCTGGGCAATCAAGTTCACCGTTATTCTTAGGATCGGGAATTACCAGTTGGATCCAGAGAGTTTGGTCGCAGGGTTTTTGGGCTGTATTGTCCAAGCATGGGATTTTTGCAACCCCGCTCAGAGACGGTACTGCAGAGTTTGGCTTGTTGCAGAGCAGAAAGAGTGCTCTGTGGTTCACGTGGGAAACTAGGCACAGGGAAGTGTAGGAGGCTGAGAACACACAGCCGGGATGCTGACCTTGAGGGAATAGATGGATGTATGCATGGATGATTGGACAGGAAGGTCTAATTGCAAATAGAAACACGTTCTCCCTTTCTCCAAACTACTCAACACAGATGATCGATGAGTGGTGAGGTAAGCAGACCTCAGCATCTGAAACAGAAAAGTGGGTTTTGCAAGAATCATGGAACCCAGAAGGGAGTAAGTCCAGAAATAAACACCACCGGCAGCGTGGTAGAAAAGTGAAGACAGCCAGTGGCGCCCGTGAATGCAGGGGAATAGAGAAAAGCTTTGAGAAGGGAAAGGGGGGTGGGGGGCCCTTGGAGACAGACTTCAGCAGGCATTTCCAAGTCTTATATGTATGACGTTCCTGGAGCTAGAGCTGTGGCATAAAGATGGTGGAAAAGTAGGCAGTTGCTTTGGTTTTCTAGAAGCCTGCAGTCATTTCTTTTGGCCACTAGATGTCGAGAACACATCGGTCTGGCACACTTTCTGACACGTTGGTCAGGTCCACTGAGTTTGGAAATAAGTTTAGTGGAACTGGCATTAGGAGTGGATGAAATCAGTGAGAATAGCATCTCTAGAGGCTTTAGAACAATCCAAGAAAGCAAACATGGGTGGAATACATGGAAGAGGTCTTTCCATCAAGACCAATAAAGAAAAATTGATTGCATTTTTATTCATTTATTGTTTTGACATTTGGGGCAGTTTTCAAGATGAAAGAAGAAGGGAGAAACATGGAAGAGAATAAAATTTTGCAGGGCCCCTCAGTGGTCCGATCGGTTGAGTGTCCAATTCGTGATTTTGGCTCAGGTCATGTCACAGTTCGTGAGTTCAAGCCCTGTGTTGGGCTCTGCGCTGATAGCACAGAGCCTGCTTGGGATTCTCTCTGCCCCTCCCCTGCTTGCTCTCTCTCTTTCAAAAATAAACAAACATTTTTTTTTTTAAAAAAAATAGTAAAATTGTGTGCAATACCTAATGTTCTTTAGAGTTTGTAAGCATTTTCCTGAACTCAGGTGAGTAAATTAAAGGTTCTCAAACCCTCAGCCCAAATCAAGGGTGATGATGATGGTGGTGATGGTAGCAGCTGATGTCTACATGGCTCTTACTATGTGGCAGGTGTTGTTCTCAGCACTTTACCTACATTAACCCAGTCTTCATAACCCAGTCTTCTATGAGGTAGGTGTCGTGGCTATCCCCATGTTACAATGTGGAAGCAGAGGTCAGAGAGGTTCTGTGACTTGCCCAAGGTCACACAGCCAGTAAGAGGCACCATCAGGACATTTGCACCAGACATTTGTATTGGGGTGCATGGTCTACAGTACCTACCATGTTCCACAACAGACGCTTCCCACATTAACTCCTGGCCGATGGCAAAGGGGACTTTCTGTGCAACAGATCAATGCTGTGATTTAGTGGTAAAGAGTCAGAGAGGAATTCTTCATCTAATAAACTCACTTCACAGCACTTCAGATGAGAAGGGATAAGATTATAATGTTGATCAAGAATTTGTTCCAAGTTCCTTGACTTAAAGGGCCCCATCAGGCAGGAGTGTATCCCATCCCCAGGTAGAAGCCTCTGCTCTATTAGCTGCTGTAATTATCCAGATGACAGGGGAAGAGAACAAGCAAAGCTCAGGAGCCATGAGCCATCTGTGTTTCTTAGTGCAGAAAGATGATCATAAACTTGATGCTGCCCAGGAAAGGTGCACCTGGGAGATGGAGTCCTCTTGATATGGGACCTCCCAGCTTGCCCTAAGGCTGCCGAAGCTCTTCACGCCTGCTGAGAAAATGACAACCGATTATGAAAACACTATGATATGGTAGAAAGATTGGTGGATTAAAGGAAAGAGAGCAGAATTCTTTTTTAAAATTACTTAGTTATTCCATATGCTTCCTGAAATAAACTCGTCTTTGGCTATACAATGAATTCCCACAAGGTCAACTGCACTTTGCTCTTCTACTTCCACAGTAGAAGTTACATATTGTTATAGCAAGGGGATCTTTGAGACAGAAGAAATCCTAGATGTCATCTAATCCAACCACCAAATTTTACAAATAGGGAAACTGAGGCCCCAAAGGGCAAGTGGCTTATCCAAGATTGAACAGTATTATCCGTGTAGTCTCCAAACTTTGCATCCGTGTGGACAACACGACAATCAAGCTACAGAACGCTCCCATTACACCACAGAGATCCCTCACTCCCCTTTACGGTAGATCCCTACCCCCCTCCCCAGCCCCAGAATCATTGATCTGCTTTCTGTCACTGCAGATGGGTTTTGTGTGTTCTAGAACTTCATATACATGGAACCAACACAAATAAATTCTTTGGGTGCCGCCCTCTTTTGCTCAGCATAAATTTTTTGAGATCCTCCCATGTTGTATCAGTTCTTTTTCAATGCTGAGTAGTAGTAGTACATTGTATAGGCCGATCGCTATTTGTGTATTTATTCATATGTTAATAGTTACCTGTGTTGTTCACAGTTTTGGTCTGTTACGAACAAAGCCGCTAAAAACGTTCATGTACAATTCTTTGTGTGGACATGTTTTCATTTCTCTCAGGTAAATATCTAGGAGTAGAATGGAGGGTCATATAGGAAGCATACATTCAGCCCAATTAGAATTGTGGTCTCTTTACCTAAATGTCCATCGACAGATGAATGGTATATGTATACAATGGAGGCAGTTAAAAAGAATAAAACCTTGCCCTTTGTAACTACGTGGATGGAACTAGAGGGTATTATGCTACGTGAAATTAGAGAAAGACAAATATCATGTGACTTCACTCATAAGACTTTAAGATACAAAACAGATGAACATAAGGGAAGGGAAGCAAAAACAGTATAAAAAAACAGGGAGGGGAACAAAACATAAGAGACTCTTAAAAACTATGGAGAACAAACAGTTGCTGGAGGGGTCGTGGGGGGGGGATGGGCAAAATGGGTGAGGGATTAAGGAATGAATCTACTTCTGAAGTAACTGTTGCACTATATGCTAACTGATGTAAATTTAAAAAGAAATTATTTTAAACATTTTTAAACTGGCAATTAGGTTACCCAGGGATACTCCTTTTGGGGACAGAGCCATTTGCCGGCCAATAAGGAAACAGCTGAGAAGATGATTTGCATGTCCCATAGGCGGTCCCTGAGTCCCTGAGGAGGGGCTTTCCCAGTGACACTGGGGGGAAGGAAGGAATGAGGGACAAGAGTGGTGGCTGGCAGGGCCAAGTTTGTCATATCACCTCTGAGACCCCCACATACTCGGGGGCTTTTAAATTTTCTCTTTTTTTAAAAAAATTATGTTTATATTTGAGAGAGAGAGAGAGAGCACAAGCAGGGGAGGGGCGGAGAGAGGGAGGGAGATACAGAATCTGAAGCAGCCTCCAGGCTTGGGCTGTCGGCACAGAGCCTGACGCTGGGCTCGAACCCAAGAACCCTGAGATCACGACCTGAGCCCAAGTCAGACACACGTGACTGAGCCCCCCAGACACCCCTTACGTTTCCTCTTTACCAGTCCATTCCTGGCATTCAGTAAGGACTTAATGATGTTAGTGATGATGATGGCGGCGATGAGGCTGCTACTGATGACCATCAGCATTCCCCACATTTGTGCGAACGTAAAGAACTTGGGGGGAGCCCAGTCGTGTGGTGGGAAGAAGGCAGGCCCCCGCTTACCAGCACGGAGGACCCGGAGGGCCCCGGGAGCACGGGGACCACGTGCCCGGCCGTGCGTGCTGCTGATCTCCTGCCCTCCTGTGTCCGCAGGTCATGAAAACCTACCACATGTACCACGCAGAAAGCATCAGTGCAGAAAGCAAGCTGAAGGAGGCCGAGAAGCAGGAGGAGAAGCAGTTCAACAAGTCGGGCGACCTCAGCATGAACCTGCTCCGCTACGAGGACCGGCCCCAGCGCCGCAGCTCCGTGAAGAAAATTGAGAAGATGAAGGAGAAGGTGAGCGAGGGCCCAGGAGAAATTGAGGGCCGGGCAGAAATGCGGGGCTCACTCCCTGCTGACAGCCTCGGCCTTCCCCCCTCGGCGGCCTGAGGGGCGTGGGGGTAGAGTCACCCCCCTCCCTCCCGCGTGTGCTCTCCTGGAGGTCAGTGTCATGGAGGGGGCAGAGCTGGCCATGCCTCGCTAGCACTTGTCGGGCCTGGCCTGGCGCCAGGATCTTCAGGCAGGGGAAGCGCTCAGCGGACGAGAGAGCCGAACCGTGGTGAGACTCAGGCCCAGCAAGCACGTTCTCGGATGGGCAGCGATCACCGGGCATTTGTGGGCGCAAAGGCCTGCTCGGGAGGCCACTTTGGTGGCTGGAGGGCTGGCTGGGGTTGGGTGTGTCCCAAGAGGAAACAGCACTGGGTTGCCAACCAGCACCGGGGGAACCCAATGAAGAACCCATTCCAAAGTACCACCAGCAAGCTAAAGATGGGAGATTTAGAATTACCGTGTACGGGAGCTGGAAAAGTGTGTTAGTGGGCACGGTGACGGGAGTGCCAGTGTTGGAGTCAGACAGGCTGGGTTTTGGAAATGCCACATTTACAGTACTTCACTGAGCCTCAGTTAAATGTTTGTTTGTTTTTGGGAAAGAGACAGGGCACAAGTGGAGGAGGGGCAGAGGGAGCCACAGAATCTAAAACAGGCTCCAGGCTCTGAGCTGTCAGCACAGAGCCGGTTGTGGGGCTTGAACTCGGGACTAAAGATACCATGACCTGAGCCAAAGTCGGACGCTTAACTAAGTGAGCCACCCAGGTGCCCCTGAGCCTAAGTTTAAAAATCGGACAGTGATGGCAAATGACTCTTTTCTCTCACGTCCACTCTGATTGATTGGTAGTGCCTGCCCAGAGCTCTGTGTTGAAGATTGTGAAGCCCCTTGTAGGCATCCAGGCATCAGTTAAAACCCCAGCTGTGATCAATTAATGATGTCTGCCATGGCCAGGGAATTTAGAAGGTCAGTGTACATGCTTTTTTTTTTTTGTCATCCTAGATTAGGTCACTTCTAAGGTTTCTTTCTTCATAAAAGCTCTGATTTTCTTGTTGAATTCTCTGCATTCATTTATTCCGTACAATCAGCAAATATTTCCTGAGTTCTTTCTACGTCCCAAGCATCATACCAGATGTTTATTTGGGCTTCTATGAGTCTAATTCTATGATTATATGATCCTATAGCTCTTAAAATGATAGGAGATTGAGTGGAAACAAAATTCACCAGGGCCTCCGTGAGCTGGAAGAGTAACCATAGGCAAAGAAAATAAGAATCCAGCATAATTTCCAAAAGCAAAGAAAAGTATGCTTCCCGATAATTAGATTGAGACCCAATTTAAAAATGGGTAAAGAATTTGAATAGATATTTCTCTGAAGAACTTAATACGAGTGGCCAATAAGCACATGAAAAGATTCTCAGCATCATTAGACATTAAGGAAATACAAATAAAAACCACAGTGAGATATCATTTCATACCCACTAGCATGGTTAAAATAAAAAAGACAGATAATAGCAAGTGTTAGTGAGGTTGCAGAGAAATTGGAACCCTTATACACTGCTGGAGGGAACGTAAAATGGTTCATCCACTTTGGAAAACAATTTTTCAGTGCCTCAAAATGTTAAACATAAAGTCACCACATGACTAAACGGTTCTGTCCTAGGCATCTACTCGTGAGAAATGAAAACATACATCCACACAAAAACCTGCACATGAATATTCATAGCAGCTTTATCCACAGGAGCCAAAAGGTAGAGACAATCCAAATGCCCATCAGTTGGTGAATGGATGAATAAAACGTGGCTTAGCTATGTGGTGTGATATTTATTATTCAGCCATGAAAAGGAGCGAAGTGCTGAATGTACTACAACATGGATGTATCTTGAAAACAGTATGCTGAGTGAAAGAAACCAGTTGTAATATTGTATGATTCTATTTATATGAAATGTCCAGACTAGACAAATACATAGAGACAGAAAGTAGATTATCGGTTACCAGGAGCTGGGGTAGAGGAGAATGGAGAGTGACTGCTAATGGGGCTAGGGCTTCTTTTGAGACTGATATTCTAAATTTCGATAGTGGTGATTATTGTACAATACTGTGAATATACAATCAGTCAATCAATCAATCAGTCAATCAATCAATAAAAGATAAGCAGGCAGGGAATTACAGAACTACAACATGGGGGGGTAAATAGAAGGGGAGAGAGACCACCAACTGGGAGGTCCGGAGACTAAGTTTAGTTCAGAGTCATATGCTAATTAGCCATTTGGCTCTTGGACAAGCCACTTTTTTTTTTTTTTTTAAGTAATCTCCACACCCAACGTGGGGCTTGAACTCACAACCCTGACATTAAAAGTGGCATGCTCTACCAACAGAGCCACCCAGCTGCCCCCAAGCCACTTCTTTCGGTTTTCATTTTCTCACCTATAAAGTGGGTGAATTAAACTATGATACCTTTACTGTCCTTTCCGGGTATAAAATTTTATGAATCCGTGAAGGGCTGAAAGTGGTCTGGGGGTCACCCTGGAAATGGGTGAGGAGTCTCAAAACTCTCTGTGAGGAGTCAGGTGCATGGCTGGTATGGGACCGTAACTACCAGGAAAAATTTGTTTCCCAGAATAAGTGGACCCTGGAGAAAGGTCAGAGATCTATGAAGAGAAGTCAGAGGTTGACCTGAAAGCACCCCTACTCAGTAGCTAGGAGAACTTGATCTGGAATAATAAAGGCTTTTTAAATACCCTTCTTAGTCCCCTTCACTCTTTCACCCTCTCCCCACCCACCTTCCCTCTGGTAACCACGTTTGTTTGCCCTGGAGTTTAGTTTTTGGTTTGTCTCTTTTTTTCTTTGTTTACAGTTTTGTCTCTTAAATTCACATTAGAGTGAAATCATATGGTATTTGTCTTTCTCTGAATGACTTACTTCACTTAGCATTATACCCTCTAGATGCATCCATGTGGCTGCAAGTGGCAAGACCTCATTCTTTTTATGGTTGAATAATATTCCGCTGTATATGTATACCACATCTTCTTCTTTTATTTTGAGAGCGAGGGAACACGAATGGGGGAGGGGCAGAGAGAGAGAGAGAGAGATTGAGCATCCCAGGCAGATTCCACGCTCAGTGCTCACTGCAGAGCCCAACACGGGGCTTGATCTCCCAATCGCGAGATCATGACCTGAGCCAATATCGAGTCGAGATCGAGAGTCGGACATTTAACAGACGGAGCCACCCAGGCGTACCTCTACCACATTTTCTTTTTTTTTTTTTTTAAATGTTTTATTTATTTCTAGGAGAGAGAGAGAGACACAGCGTGAGCAGGGGAGGGTCAGAGAGAGAGGGAGTCACAGACTGAAACAGGCTCCAGGCTCTGAGCTGGCAGTCAGCACAGAGCCCGACGCGGGGCTCGAACCCACGAACCGCGAGATCATGACCTAAGCGAAAGTCGGACGCTTAACCGACTAAGCCACCCAGGCGTCCCTCTACCACATTTTCTTTATCCGTTCATCCGTCAGTGGACACTTGGGGCACTTCCACAGTTTTGCTTGGAATAAGGAAGATTTAAGAGTGCCTAGGTGAAAGAGGAAACCCTGTTTTTTTAAGGGGAGCTGTTTTTCTACCCAGAACGGGACTCATCATCTGAAAGGGGTAAAGAGACAACTCTCCAACCCACCTTCTCTTCACCTCTTCCTGCCCAGGCCGGCCCAGGACAGAAGCAGCTTCCAAGGGAGGCCATCCAGCTCGTAGCCAACACTGGCACCTCTAGCTGCCTCTCCCACCGTTCACGTCCAGACGGCCAGTGAAAGGTGCTTACTGCCCACTTTGTGCAGAGGCAGTTTGGGTTCTGCAGGCCCAGTGATGATGAGAGCAGATCAAGTCCCTGCCTTCCTAGGGCTTACTTTCTAGTGGGGGACACCAAAAACCAGCAAGTAAGCAAAGTGGTAAAAAATATAATTTCAGGTTATGAAGAATGGTTATGAAGAAAAATAGAGCCACCAAGATGTCCTTCGGTAGGTGAATGGATAAGCTACCTGCGGCCCACCCAGACAATGGAATGTTACTCAGTGCTAAAAAGAAATGAGCTAGCAAGCCCTGAGAAGACATGCATATTACTAAGTGAAAGAAGTCAATGTGAAAAGGCCACATACTGTATGATGCCCGCTATATATGACATTCTAGAAAAGCCACGGAGACAGGAGAAAGATCAGGGGTTGCCAGGGGTCAGGTAGCAGGGAAGAAGTGGACATGGGGAGCACAGAGTATTCATAGGACAGGGAAACTACTCAGTCCGATATTATAATGATGGATGTATACTGTTGTACAGTTGCCCAAACCCAGAGACTGTAAAATACCAGGAGTGAGACCCAATGTCGACTATGGACTCTGGGTGATCACGATGTGTCCCTGGAGGTTTATCAGTTGGAACTGATGTACCTTCTCAATTTTTGCTGTGAACCTAAAACTGCTCTAAAAGTACAGTCTTTAAAAACATTATAGAGAAATGAAAGTTATCACGAAAATTGAACAAAGATAAAATACATGCAAAAAGTAGAGCAGGGGACGGGAGTGGGGGGGTGGGTACCGCAGATGCTGAAGACTCATTTCAGACAAGGTTGTGCTCAGAGGCTGCTCTGACCATTTGACTTTGGGGAAGGACTTGAAGGACGGAAGGAGCAGGCCACACGGGGACTTGGAAGGCTGGCTTGCCAGGCAGAAGGAAGGAGCCTGAAGGCCTAGAGGCAGGAATGAACTTGGCCTCTTAAAGGAAGGGCAGAGGAGACTGGGCAACAAGGAGCCTGAAGGCAGAGGGTTCAAAAGAGGGATGAGAGCCAGCGTGAGGCCTCAGCTCTTAACCTCTACTCTGTTCTTGCAGAGGCAGGCAAAGTATTCTGAGAACAAGCTCAAATGCACAAAGGCCCGAAACGACTACTTGCTGAATCTGGCGGCCACCAATGCAGCTATCAGCAAATACTACATCCACGACGTCTCCGACCTAATCGACGTGAGCACCTGGGGAGGCTGGAACGGAACAGGACCCCCCCACACCTGGGCTGGCCCTTCTCTTTAGCTGATGTGCATGTCCCGTGAGCCCCGACGGAGGGGAAGGGCAGTGGGCGTGGGGGCCTGGGGAATGAGTATCACCTCACGGTTTCTACTTGCATGGGTGGGAGTGCACCTCTGGCAGCCCCTATATAGTTGGGTCAGGCGGTCTTACATTCCGCCTGCACTTCCCAAGTCCTCTCCTCTACGCTGGGCCCTTTGTGGGTATAGAGGTTCGGGGTGATTGTACACAGTCCTCAGCCTGGAGGGTTTCCCAGGGTGGTAGAGATCTGTTCAGGGGATATTATCGTGGGAGAAATCAGGCAGTTTAAGCAAAAGCAGAATGGAACCCTGACTCCTGAGTACCAGATGTGCAGGTCACGCTGGAGGGAGAGAGAGCTCCGGGCTTGGAGAGAGAGCATCCTGAGTGGCATCATCATGGAGAGCTTCTGTGTCATCTGTGTTGGAGCTGAGGCTGCTTCTTGTGTCTTGTCCGTCCCATGCGGGCAGGGATCTGGCCTGCGGACACTCAGGAAAGGTTCCACACTGGTGGATGGACCCTTTTCCTCTGGGTCTGCTGTGTCCTGTTAGGAGGGCAGAGGGTCACCACTTTTCCATGGCTGCAGTAGGGACCCATTGCCACCGTCCCCAGGAGAGGGAGCTGCCCAGCCCTACCTGTGGCTTCCAGTGCCCCAGGCCAGATCTCTCCTCTTTCTCACAACTTTTCACTCTTTCCAGCCCTCTCCTGTCTTCATTTACCACATTTTTATCAAGCACCTGCTAGCTCTAGCTGGCACCGCAGTGGACAAGGGCCCGTGGGTCTGTCCTGATGAGACTTACAATACATAACCCTAACACATTAATAGGCAACTGCAAAGCCAAGTGACAGCTGTCACCATGAGGGGGGTGGAAGGAGATACGGGCCCCCAGAGGAGGGAGGCGTGATTTAAACTCTGAGCGGGGAGTGCATCAAGGAGGACTTCCTGGAAGAAGTGACCTTTAAACTGAAACCCGAAGGAAGAATATTTAGGCAGTATGACAGGCAGAGGGAACGCATGTGTGAAGGCGTAGAGATGAGAAAGCATGTGATGACTTCGGGGCACTAGAGAAGTCTGCTAATGCCCAAATCACAATTCCCAGCTCCCACTGAGGGCTTTGGGGAGATTTGTGCAGGAAGATTCCAAAGTGCACAAGGGCTTCCAGGATGAAAGATCTGAGTGTGGAGTGGGAGGTAATGGTAAGTCACCGTGATGGGGAGGGAATGCCGGTGGCCCTCACCTGCACGTGACAGCCCACGCCCTTCTGTCGTGTGCCTCTCTCCAAGTGCTGTGACTTGGGCTTTCATGCCAGCCTGGCCCGCACCTTCCGGACCTACCTCTCAGCCGAGTACAACCTGGAGACCTCTCGCCATGAGGGGCTGGATGTCATCGAGAACGCGGTAGACAACCTGGACTCCCGCAGCGACAAGCACACCGTCATGGACATGTGCAACCAGGTCTTCTGTCCTCCGCTCAAGTTTGAGTTCCAGCCCCACATGGGGGATGAGGTAGGCCTCTCCCAGCAGCCCACACCGAGGCCGCTTCTGCCTCTTCTCCCACGTGCTCCCACAACAGCGGGGGGAGGGGAGCATCAGCCTCCATTCCACATGCACAGCATTGACCTCGGAGGCCTCAGGTCAGGTTCTCGGTCCAGGGGCTTCCCCAGCTGGGGAGTTTCGCACTGACGCCCTAACTCTGCTGGCTCACATGCCTCACCTGCAGCACGCAGGACCTTAGCTCCCCTTAACATCCTTCCCAGTTGTATCTGGACCCCAAGGGAGTCCCCTGTCGTCACACAAGCATCTCACAGTCTTCCCTCGGATGGCCTCGGATCGCAGGAGGCTGGGCCTCACTGTAGCCCCTCTGGCGGCAGCCTTGCCTGGGCACTGCCCGTACGGGAGGCTTCCCACCAGCTCTGCTCCCTTGGGTTTTGTGCCACCCAGATCCTCAGAATCGTGTTCTGGAATAAATAAATAAGTAAGTGGGGGAACGTACTTGGTCCAGGCCACAAAGCAGCACACGGGTTACTCAAACTGTACAAAGTCCCTATGCAAATAGCTCCTTGAGCTGTTCCTTTTCATCCCTCCCCACTTTCTTCATTTGCAAAAGAGGGGGCTTCTTCAGGGTGTCCCCACAGCTTCTGGCCTGTCCCTCAGCCATTGCATCCAGCCCATCATCTGGACCTGAAAATCCTGGCCTCATGGTTACCACGGGTGACTGTGAGATTTGAGTTGCCTAGTTAATGGTAAATCACAGAGCCCTGCTGTCCCTTATGATCTCAGCTGAGTTAGGCCAGGCTGCCCAGCCCACGGGTAGTAACAGAGCCGTGAGTGGAGTGGATGGAGGGAGAACCGTGTCTCCTTCACCCCTCCTCCACCCCAGGAGCATGCGACTGCCTCACGGCTGCCTCACAGAAGCACCTTCCTGCTGGGGAATAGGAGCACTTTACTGATGGCTTCCATTCGTGGTCCTTTTCATTGGTTTCTGTCAAGCCCGTTGCTCTCCTTCTATAACTTCCTGTTTCGAAATTAACTAGTCTCACTCAATGAGATTGTGTTCAAGCGCTTAATAAACCCTCAAGGGTTGGACACACCTAGAAGACCATGACTGAGGGGCCACAGCTTGCAATGTGAGAGGGTGGCCTTTGGAGTAGGAAGACCCCAGTTCCTGGCTGCTGTTGGCCAGGTACAAGCCATGTGACTGTGGGTAGGTCACTTAACCTTTCAGAGCCTGTTTCCTGGGCTGTTGGTAGGGATGTTGATGATGGCCCGGGCCTGGCTGCGCACAGCTGATGAGAGCACTGGGCGATGACAGGTGGTGGCTGTCCTATTGCAGGTGTGCCAGGTCAGCGCTCAGCAGCCCGTCCAGACGGAATTGCTCATGCGGTACCACCAGCTGCAGTCCAGACTGGCCACTCTCAAGATAGAGAATGAGGAGGTGAGTGGGCCCCTCTGCCCCGTAAGGGATTTCCTTACAAAGGCCTGCCTTGTCCTGGAACTCTGGCCGTGGAAGGCATTCGAAGTTAGGGTTCATCCGTCAGACGGATGATTACACAACCATTAACACTGGGCACACCGAGAATCTTGAAAGGGGTGGGGGAATGCCCACATAATGTTGAAGAAAATCAAAGAAGATGTAGAACTGTATGTTCAGTAGTATCCCAAGTATGGTAAACTAGAGTAGGTGCATGTGTATCTGTGTTTATTACAAGAAAAAAGCCTGGGAAGAAATGCTTTGAAATGTTGATTGTGATTACATCTGGGTAGAGGAGTTACAGGTGATTTCCGTTTTCTTCATGTGCTTTTCTCCATTGAGTTTACGTTATTTTTATCATCAAAGATAGTTATAGGCGTTTGAAATTACACAATGAAATAAAAAACCCAGGGCACACCGAATGTATGACGGATCTGAGCCCCAGGGAGCTTCTGTCTTGCCGTGGCGGGCACACCTCCCCTGTGGCCGGTGACACAGGCTCGCCCCCCTGAGGGCACAGATGGAAATACCAGCTGCCGTGTGTTTTGATGTGGACTGAGGAGGCCGGACGGGAAACATCCCATTCCAGCCTGGATGCCTCCATGCAGGGAGCATGTCAGCCAGCCAGAGACCCCTGGAGAAAGGACACCGGGATGTGGAGAATGTCACCTGAAATCCTGGGCGGGTTTATCACCGAGAAGTGCAGTCATGGCTGGGGATGGGGAGTCCTGGACCCTGTCTTCACATCTCAAGAGGGCTTTCCTGGGCAAAGAGAGCTGGTTTACTCCATGCCGTCACAAAGGACAGAGCTGGGACAGACATGACACAGATTGTCACTCAGGACAATAACGAATCAGAGCTGTCCCTGGCGGGGAGGTTATACAGGAATGGATCATGCTTTTATTTTTCAAACCTGAGGAGAGAGAGGAGATGAAGCAAGTATTCTGTATCCTCCCCTGAAGCATTTTCAGTTGTTTACGTGGAACAGTCTATGGATAACAATGCTGATGGGGTTTAAATTGGAAATCAGGGCCCCAGAGAGGAGAATGAAGCAAAAGTTCCCCTGTATAGGCTATTCGTGGCTATGGAAATGCTTAATTGTGAACCTGACTCTTGTCAGGCTGTGTTAGAAAGAACCGATCCATACATTATTCATTCACAAGTGTGCATTCAACCAGTACTATTCAAGTATTTATTGAGCACATTCCATGCTCTAAACACTGCTAGATGCAGGGTAAAGTGAGTGAACATGATAACATAGTGCCTCCTCTCCTGCAGATTATAGTCTAGCAAGAAAAGATAGATAAAACATGGAAGCGAGCAAGCCACCAAGTGAAGAAGTATGCAGAATAGCAGGTGATGATGGGCACTAAGTTAGGAACGGTTAGTCAGGGCGCTCTGATGTCACTAGGAGGTGACCGTTGAGATCTGAGTGACAGGAAACACTTCAGGTGACAATAATTTAACAGCGAATGTAGATGCAGTTTCTCTGCTGACTGTTTTTGGAGTGACCTTCCATCAGAGTATAGGGTACAAGTCAGTCCGGGGATGCTGCGAGGTCAGGGCTTGTGTGCTCTGCAAGTGTGGCCTTCTGGGGAGGGAGTTGGGACTCCAGGAGAGAAGTTGGGATCCTGGAGGACTGTCTTCCTTGAGTTCTCTTTTCTCAGTCAGGCTTTTGATAAGTCAGGGGCAGATAGCCAGAGAGTCTGTCCACTGAGGATGGCCCCTCATCCTATCCAGACTGTGTCCCCTCTTCTCTCAGGATGAGCACCCAGAATATTTCTCCACAAGGGACCTGCCTCCCATTGGAGGAGCTAGTGGGGGGCTACATAATCAGGAAAAGAGAAACACATGTAGCAACCTGGCTTCCTTGTTCGTCACGACATTCTCCAAGGTTCCCTTCGGCAGAAGCAATCCAGTAAAATGATGTTAGATTGGGCAACATGGGTTCTCACCCCAGCCAGCTCGCTGGCCTTATTTTACACATCAGTGTAATGGGAATGATCATCTTTGTCCTGCCCGCCTCCTAGAGGCTATACATGGAAGAAATTAAGTGGGGAGAGGGATTTTGAGGTGTGAAAGGGATTCTGAGGCTGAAGGGTTTTTGTTGACACGCTGCGTCTCTCCAGGTTAGAAAAACCCTGGATGCCACCATGCAGACCTTGCAGGACATGCTGACCGTGGAGGACTTTGACGTCTCTGACGCCTTCCAACACAGCCGATCTACAGAGTCTGTGAAGTCGGCTGCCTCCGAGACCTACATGAGCAAGACTAACGTTGCCAAAAGAAGAGCCAACCAGCAAGAAACAGAAATGTTTTATTTTACAGTAAGTGGTGTCTTGGACCCAGAACCTACTGTTTGCTGACCTGCTGGCAGTGACTTTTGGGGAGCAGCCCAAGCTAGTGGGAGCCAGCAAAACCCTGTGGATCAGTTACAGCTAAAAATTTTCCACCAGGCTTCTCAAATGAACTTGCTTTGTAAGATGCAAGAAAGCGAATTACCAGTGGGGAGCATCCACATGGATGCTGGATTGATGGTTATTCGCAGTTAACCTAGAGAAAACTTAGAGAGTTGTGTTCAGTAGGATGGGAGGCAAATGGCTGTTAGCCTGGTGAAAGCCCAAACAACAGACCTAAAGTTTAGTGTACGGTTGTCACAATGGGGTGTCTTAAATTTGGGTGTGAGCTTTAGAAACCATGCCCTGGGTGACCTGTGCAAATTGCTGGTGAATTGTCAGCCCTTCATGTAAAATCCCAGATTACCTACATTCCATTCAGTTGAGGCCAGGAAGCATAAGGATGGGGTTTTAATTCAGCATGTGTTTAGCAAACATAGAATTTTGGGGGTGTAAGGGACTTCGAATCTTCTATCTGATGCTTGATGACGTTCAAGCATATCCCTACCAAAAAGTCATCCCATCTCTTCTTGAACAGCCCAAAGACTAAAACATCCTTCCTTCTTCAAATAGCCCTTTTGTTTGGCCTGTGGCTGGCAGTAGATTTATAATGTATTCCGTTATCTCTACTTCACTAGGATTTCTCATCATTCATCTTGATCCTGTTCTTTGGGTCAACCCAGGGAGGCTAATTCCACAAGACAGTCTTTGGTGTGCTTGTAGGGAGCTAGGTTTTCATTTCTCTGGGCTACACATACCTGATACTGCAAATCCTGCCTCGTAAGCTTTCATTTTGAGTGGCCTCAGCATCCTGGTGACTCTTTCCTGAACTTGTTCCTTTTGTCGATGCCTGTTCTAAGGTGAGACTCTTGAGCAGTGGCCCGACCAGCACAGAATAGAGCTAAACTCCCACCTCCTCCCACCCTAGGTGCTATTTATTCTCTTTTTCATCTGTTCTAAGATCATATTCTTTTTGTTTTGTTTTTATTTTTATTTACAAATTTTAATTCCAGTATAGTTAACATACAGTGTTATATTAGTTTCACATGTACAATATAGTGATTCAACAGTTCCATACATTACTCAGTGCTCATCATGATGAATATACTCTTAATCCCTTATCTGTTTCATCCAACCTCCCTCCCACCTCCCCTCTGGTAACCATCTGTTTGTTCTCTATAGTTAAGAGTCTGGTTTTTTGGTTGTCTCTTTTTTTCCTTTGTTCGTTTGTTTTGTTTCTTAAATTCCACATAAGACTGAAATCATATGGTATTTGTCTTTGACCACCTGATTTATTTTACTTAGCAATATACTCTTTAGATTCATCCATGTTCTGGCAAATGTCAAGATTTCATTCATATATATATATATAAAATCTCTGTCCATATATATACCATCTCTGTCCATAAATCTATCAATGGACACTTGGGCTGTTTTGATTTGGCTACTGTAAATAATGCTGCAATAAATATAGGGATGCATATGTCTTTTCACATTAGTGTTTTTGCATTTTTTTGGGTAAATACTCATTAGTGGAATTACTGGATCATATGGTAATCCTATTTATAGTTTTTTGAGAAATCTCCATAATGTCTTCCACAGCAGCCACACCAGTGTGCATTCTCACCAACAGTGCAAGAGGGTTTCTTTTTCTCCACATTTTGCCAACACTTGTTGTTTCTTGTGTTTTTGATTTTAGCCATTCTGACAGGTGTGAGGTGGTATCTCATTGTGGTTTTGACTTGCATTTTCCTGATGATGAAGTGATGTTGAGCCATCTCTTCATGTGTCTCTTGGTCATCTGGATGTCTTTGGAGAAATGTCTGCTCATGTTTTCAGCTCTTTTTTTAATTGGATTATTTGGATTTTGGAGGGTTGTAGTAATTCTTTATATATTTTGGGTACTAAACCTTGAATGGATATTGCCATTTGCAAATATCCTCTCCCATTCACTAGGTTGTCTTTTAGTTTTTGTTGATTGTTTCCTTTGCCGTGCAGAAGCTTTTCATTTTGACACAGTCCCAGTAGTTTATTTTGCTTTTGTTTCCGTTATCTCAGGAGATGTATCAAGAAGAATGTTGCTACAGCTGATGATAGATGCCTGTGCTCTCTTCTAGGATTTTTATGGTTTCAAGTCTCACATTTAGGTCCTTAATCCATTTTGAGTTTTTTTTTGTGTATAGTGTAAGAAAGTGTAGCCCGATTTCATCCTTTTGCATGTAGTTGTCCAGTTTTCCCAGCACCATTTGTTAAAGGGACTCTTCTTTTTCTCATTGCATATTGCATCCTTTGTTGCAGATTAATTGACCATATAATTGTGTGTTTATTTCGGGGATCTCTATTCTGTTCCATTGATTTATATGTCTCTATTTGTGCCAGTACCATACGATTTTGATAACTACAGCTTTGTAGTAGATCTTGAAATCTGGGGTTATTATGGCTTCAGTTTTGTTCTTCTTTTTCAAGATTGTTTTTTTGGCTATTTGAGGTCTTTGTGGTTCCATTCGAGTTTTTGGATTATTTGTTTTAGTTCTGTGAAAAATGTTTTCGGTATTTTGATAGGGATTGCATTAAATCTGTAGATTGCTTTGAGTAGTATGGACATTTTAACAATATGAATTCTTCCAATCTATGAGCATAGATATCTTTCCCTTTGTTTTTACTTTGATTTCTTTCATCAGTGTTTTATAGTTTTCAGAGTATAGGTCTTTCACCTCCTTGGTTAAGTTTATCCCTAAGTATTCTATTATTTTTGGTGCAATTGTAAATAGGATTGTATTCTTAATTTCTCTTTCTGCTACTTCATTATTAATGTATAGAAATGCAACAGATTTCTGTAGTATATTGATTTTGTATCTTGTGGCCTTACTGAATTCATGATTCTAGTAGTTTTCTCGTAGTGGCTTTAGGGTTTTCTATACATAGTATCATGTCATCTGCAAATAGTGAAAGTTTTACTTCTTTCTTACCAATCTGGATGTCTTTTATTTCTTTTTGTTATCTGATTGCTGCTCCTATGGCTTTCAGTACTGTGTTAATAAAAGTGGTGAGAGTGGACATCCTTGTCTCGTTCCTGTGGGTTTTCATATGCAGCCTTTATTATGTTGAGGTCCTTTCCCTCTACCTACTTTGGTAAGGGTTTTGATCGTGAAACACCAACATCCATGTTGTACTTTGTTTTACATGTCAGATGCTTTTTCTGCATCTATAGTTTTTATCCTTTCTCCTATTGATGTGATGTATCGCATTCATTGATTTGTGAATATTGAACCATCCTTGAAACACAGGAATAAGTCCCACTTGATTGTAGTGAATGATTATTTTAATGCATTATTGGATTTAGCTTGCTACTATTTTGTGGAGAATTTTTGCATCTATATTCATCATAGATACTGGCCTACAGTTCCCTTTTGTTGTGGTGTCTTTATCTAATTTTGGTATCAGGGTGATGCTGGCCTCATAGAATTAATCTTGAAGCTTTCCTTCCTCTTCCTTTTTTTTTTTTTGGAATAATTTGAGAAGAATAGGTATTAAGTCTTCTTTAAATATTTGGTAGAATTCACCTGTGAAGCCATCTGCCTCTGGACTTTTGTTTGATGGGAGTTTTTTGATTGATACAGTTCCATTGCTGGTAATCAGCTTGTTCAAATTTTCTATTTCCTTTTGATTCAGTTTTGTGAGGTTGTATGTTTGCAGGAATTTATCCATTTCTTTTATCTTGTTCAGTTTGTTGGCATATACATTTTCATAATATTCTCTTACAACTAAGATCATATATATATATATATATTTTAAGTTAGTATCAGTTAAATCTCTCTCCCTGTGTACTGCCGTTAAACTAGGCTACCTTCCTGCTAAAGGATGGGTAGGTGATATCTTGGGTCAGTCTTAGGTTAGTTACCAGCGGGATTTCCTCTTGACGGATTTAGTTCATGGCTCCAGACTGTCAAGACCTTGCTGCAGTTGTTCAACGTACGTGCTATCTTTTCAGACTTATGTTTTATGCAGATCACGTGAGTGTGGCTTATGGTCATACCTTAAAGTTTGTCAGTTAAAAAACGAATAGGTATGCCAGAGCCAAGGCCAAAGACAGAGTTGTTTAAAACATGCCACTAGGCTGATAGTGATTCACTAAATCAGCACTTCCAGATGGTGGTCATTTAATGAGCCACAAACGCACCCAGTCCTGACACCCAGCTCCGTCTTGTGATGGACCTTGTCAAATCCTTTGGTGAAAACAAATAGTTACACGTATTGTATTTCACAGTCATCACTGTTTGACTTTGTTATTTTCAAGAAAGAAAATAAGACTAGTCTGGGTGAATCAGCCCATGCCAATTTCTGGGGTTCACCACTTCCACTGGGGACCTACTATATTTACAAAGAGAATTTTATGGGTCACAAAGATTAAGTAAGGAGTGCGCATGAGTATGAATTCACTAAGGCAGCAGAAGCAAAGAAATTGGGTGGCAAAAGCAGAGAAAAGGGGGCCTGGCCGGCTTGAAAGTAAAAGATAGAATTTACCAGTGTTCATGATTAAGGGTCATGGGCGTTGTATTTTAACTTTAATATCTAATCTATCAACCTGGTTGGCTAGTACACCTCATGACTTGATGTTCTGACATTATTTTAGGCATTTTTAAGGACATGATATTCCTTTTAATACAAGCATCGGTACAATTTGACAGTATTCTTTCCATCATGGTTCATGTATGAAGCCTGGATGAAGCTTGGAAAAAGTAGGCAAAGTCTATGGACTCCAGAGCCCTGGGGTATAATTTCCACCAACCAGTCAATAACCCATCCAGGTGTGAGTTACATGGTTGGGATTAGAGCTTTGACTGCTGGAGGTAGCAAGGCATGAGGGAGAAAGTACCTGCTTATACCTCAGCTCTGCTTCTCATGGCAAAGTTTTCAACACTGATCAGAGCAGAGCGTGTCATTACTGGAAGCATCCAGAGAGAGCCTAGGGGAGAGCTTTCATCAAACTGAAGTGAGTATTCGAATCGTGTAGGAAGCTTGTTGAAAATGTAGGCTCCCAGCATACCACCCTCTCTGGGGTGGGCCCTGGAAATTTGAACACCTCTAGTCCTCTGTAGTGCCTTCTTCAGGTGTAAAATACGATATTCTTGAGCTGGAATCTGCATTTTGACCCTCTCCCCCGCTGGCGCCACACTCGCGGAAACATCGCAGGTCAATGATCACTTTGCCCTGAGGAGGGAGGGAGTAAGCCGCCCAAGGTGGCACTCTGAGTGACCACAGCTCTGAGCTTCTGCCCCTTTCTGGCAAGAATGGGAATGATGATGCCCCCTACTCTTTGCCGTCCAAGATTGTGATGAGGACCGGAAGTACGAGCCTGAACCCTGCTAGGTGTTCCAGGGGGAGTGCTTCCTAATACCTAAGCGACAGGGTCCTAGGAGCCAAGGACTGTGGTTGACGAGAGAGGGGACCACTGTCTCCTGCCAGCCCCACCGTTCCAGAAACCTGTCAAGGCGGGGCCAGGTGAGGTGACCCCAGTCATCTGTGCACGTCAGCCCCCACCCGCTGGGCCCCTTCCCGACAACTGTCGTCGATAGGATGATGGTGATGTTCCAGATGCTCCTTTACAGGTCATGTTGGAGTGTCCTGAGCCTCTATAGTTCACCTGTTCGCTTCTCTGCACCCTTTTCCAAGCCTCCTGGCTGGGGCAAGAAAATGGATTTCTCTGTGAGAAACTAGCTGGCAGATTCGGGGCAATCACTCCATCCTGTGCCTTCATTTTCAGGGCGTTTGCAGTTGCCATTCCATCTGCTGAAAGTGTCCCTTCCCCTGTGTGCCCACGTGTACCCACACAGCCCCTGCCTCACCTCCTTCAGGCCTTGGTTCACATGGCAACTATGCAGTGAGGTCTGCCCTAATTCCCAGTCCCCCCTTCCTGCCTTATTTTTATCCATAGCATTCACCGGCCTCTGGCCAGTTGTGTATGTTACTTTCTTTATTAGCTTATCGTCTCTCTTCCCACTCTTCTGTGTCAGCCCCCACGAGATCAGAGCTTCAGCAGAGTGTCTCAGCACTGGCTCTATGCCAGGCACGGCTGTAGGCACTGGGGATCTGGAAACAAATTGGGTGTGGACCCCACCAAAGCGGCCCACAGCCTAGCAAAGACCCGCCCCAGCAGAGAGGGCTCTGGGGCTGTGTTTGCGTGATGCAGGGTGGGCCGAGGAAAGCTGATCCTTGTGCTGAGGGGTGGCTGGGCTCAGTTTGGGCACAGGTAGATGCGTTTCTGTTCCAGGTGACTCCTGTCCGTCTGCGCTGCTCAGAAGCACATTGGCATAACAAGGTCCCTGAACTTGAGGCAGCCTGGGAGTCCCAGGGACGTGGGGCAGATCAGTTCTGTATGCCAGCCTCACCCGTCTCCTCTGTAAAGAGAAGAAAACTGTATCCCCCAGTGCAGTTCAGGTTATTTTAATAGGAATGTCGTAGGGGGCCTCTGAAGCCCTTCCTCCTCCAGAGCGGGGCCAGATGAAAGGAAGGCTCCTTCAGAGGCTCCTCTGGAACAGATCTGATAAAACGCTCTTGCCTCAGCCGTGTGTCCCCAGAGACGGTTCCCATTTTCATTGCTCGTGGCCCAGAAGCACAGTGGAGCCTCGATGACTAACAGAGCTGTCTGCTCGGAGCGCAGTCCGCGGTCCTCCCCTGACAAAAGCCCCGTTCACTGCTCGCATTCCCCCTGCGCTTTCTCTGTGTTCCCCACACTGCCCCGAAACGCCCAGGGTGGGACAGCCGCGCTCAGCGGGGCTGGGGGCTGATGGAGCAGCGCCGAGGGAGGGGCGAGTCGGAGGCCCTTCCTTTCCCCACGCGGGGGTCCCTGAGGGGGGCGTGATCTCCCTTTGACCTCCCCGGCATAGCGCTCGGGTCCAGAGGCAGAGACCACGTGACGTGGCCTTGCAGTCCATAATGTGCTTGTGCCTTGTGTCTTACAGAAATTTAAAGAATATGTGAACGGCAGTAACCTCATCACTAAGCTACAGGCCAAGCATGACTTACTCAAGCAGACCCTGGGTGAAGGTGAGTTGGTTGGGTGGCACAGGCCTGTGAGGAGGGCCACGTGTTTTGCTGTGGCCCCTGAGCCATTTCAGCTGAGGCCTGGGGCCCTCGGCCGAATGAGGCCTGGCACCAGAGCCCCCCGCAGGACTGGGCAGGCCGGTACAGATGATGGGAGAGGTCTGGTCTGGCTGCAGAGAACATGGGGCCGCCATGTTAGTATAGGTTCTGAGGGAGAGTCCAAGGCAAAGTAACGAGAGGGGGGTCTGCAGTGGGTAGGGGGTGGGAATCCAGGAGCACAGACGTCTGCGTTGATGTTTTTTAGCAGACACTGTTTGCCAGGAATACTCCTGGAGTGTCTGGCCAGGAGTCTGGGTCCAGAAAAGAAAAAATCCATATGTGTATTTTGGTCCTTGAGGGATGTGGGGAGTAGGCTTAAAATTGCCCAAAGGCTTCCAGTGACAGTTAGAATAAAATCCCAAGTGCTCTCACACAGTGCATGAGACCTTATATCATTTGAAGGCTGTCTTTTTCACTGAACGTGTTGATCATTCTCTACTCCCTTTCTGTGCTCCAGCCACACGAAGCTCCTTTCTGCCCTTTAAAACTCATTGAGCTCATTCCTGCCCCAGGGCCTTTGTATCTGCTGTTCTCTCTGCCTGGAATGCCCTTACCCCCAGATCTCAGAATGGGTGACTTCTTATCCTTCAGCAGTCTCGGCACAGATGTCACTTCCTCTGTGAGACTCTCTTATCACCCAACCTCAAGAAATCACCACCTCTGTCCCGACACACTCTCTGTTTGATTTTCTTCATCTCATTTATCACCATGTGAAAACACCATATTTATTATTTGTTCATTTATTATCTTTGGGTACTTCCTCACCCCAACTGTCTCATATCTTCTATCCAAGTAGGGACTTCCTTGTTTATTTTGTCCACCACTTTATCTCTGGTGCCTAGAATAATACCTGGCTTACACTAGGCACTCAGTTAATAGTCACTGGGTGAATGGAAAGGTGACCAGGACACGAGCCTGCCCCTAAGGTCGGGGATGGTTTGCAGCAAATCCTGGTGGCCCTGGAAACTGATGTGAGTCTCAGCTATGAGAGGAGGAGCTGAACGGGGCATTTCTGAAGTTGTGAGGCCTGCTTGGAGCCCCACATCCAGAGATATTCTTGTATTCTGGTGGAGAGGTGTGTAGGCTGCAGGGTGTGCTCTTCCGAAAGGAAAAAGAGCATGGGATCCAGGAAACAAGGAACTTCCAAGGTGATGATGCCAGTAGATCCCGAGATGACGGCTTGAATCAGGCCTAGGGATCACCCAGGAGCTTTCCAGGGGATGAGGAGTGTAATTGGTGAGAGTCATCGTGGGGCATGGCATCCCACTCTTCTCCAGACGGGTGCACCTTCTCGGGGCTGTGCCCTGGCCACTCGGGTCTCCCCTGACACTGTCCACTCGGCACCAATCGGGTGTGGGGGGTGTGAGCTGGAATCTGCAGATGCTTGGCATTTGTGAGCCCCATGCTTTAGAGGAAACAGTGAGAAAACACACCATTTCCCAGCCCCAAGGCGCTTCTAACCTAGTGAGGAGACAATTCATGAATTCATAAAAAATTTAAACGATAACATTAAGTCACACAAATACTAGATGAATTGCCTGGTGAACAGTACAGACTCTTAAGAGTATGAGCCAGGAAAGGAAGGGGTCACCATGGGCCCAGAAGAGCCGGAAAGGCTTCAAGAAAGATGAATAACTGGGGCTTGGAGTAGTAACCAGGACTTTAAAACTAATATCAGTAGAATTTTTTTCAATGGACTTTATTGACCTATAACTTATATACAATAAAATCCGCCCATTTTGCATAGAAATCCATTGTGACAAACATATAATACCTAGATCAGGATGTAGAACATTTATGTCAGCCAAAAGCTCCTTTGAACCCCTTTGCAGTGAATCCCTTCTCCTCCACCCCAAGCAACCACTGATCCCATTCCTGTCAGCATAGATTAGTTTTGTGTCTTCTAGCTGGGCAACTCCTGGGAGTGTTAAAAATTTGGGTGCTGGCTATACTCAGGTGTATACATTTGTCAGACCGCATTGATTGGGGGTAAGGGTGGAAGCAGTGAATTGCATTGGGCTTTTTCTTCACTTCCCCTTATACCCCTCTACGTTCTGCCCATCCTGACATTTCCATATTGGGCTGGGAGAGTGGGGCTGCAGAGGAGTAGGAGAGCCAGAAAGTCCTAGGGAGGAGCCAAGGTGGTGTGACAGGGACAGCTCCCATGCCCAGCCTTAAAGAGGAGGATTGGTTTTATAGCCAGTGGCCCGGGGGGCTGGAGGCTGTTTCTCAGAGCCATGTACCAAAAGGCAGGTCCATGTGAGTTGGTTGGCTACTTGTATTTTCAAAATCAGGAGCCCTGGTTTTAGAAAACTAGATGTTCTTTTACATTTTTTAAAAATGTTTTATTTATTTTTGAGAGAGAGATAGAGACAGCATGAGCCGGGGAGGGTCAGAGAGAGAGGGAGACACAGAATCCGAAGCAGCCTCCAGGCTCTGAGCTAGTTGTCAGCACAGAGCCCGACGTGGGGCTCAAACCCACGAACTGTGAGATCATGACCTGAGCTGAAGTCAGACACTTAACCAACTGAGCCACCCAGGTGCCCCTGCTTTAGAATAGTTTTAGATTTATAGAAAAGTTGCAAAGATAGTACAGCTAGTTCGCATAGACTCCACATCCAGTATTTCCTGTTATTGTCACTAACAACTCATCTTGAGTGAGTATGGAGTATTTGTTACAAGTAATGAACGCTGGTACATTATTATTTCTAAAGTTAATAAATTGTCCAATTACCGGAAAGAACTGCAGCTGAGACAAAATCTTGAGTCACTTTTGTATCCCCACTGCCTGATAAATGTAGAGGTGGATTCTTAAGGCTCTGGGTGAAAGGGAAGGAAGTGCACTGACTTAGATCGGTACGTTCTTGCCTGTTGGGCAAACGGGACATGGAAAAAATTGAGCAGCCCAAAGCGAGCTCAGAAGCTTGGCTCCTTCATTTTTCTGAGTGTCAACAGATGATTCACCTCTACCCCCACATGCTGACTCTTCCATTCAGTAGAAAGCTTTTCTAAGAGTGGGCCGGGGTAGGTTTACGCCTGCATCAGTGACCTTTTTATGTCCTCTGAGGGCTATTTTGTATTGGGAGGGACAATCTGGAAATTTTGGAAGCAGGTGACAAATATGGGGCCACGCAGACTATTTTGATTAAAAAGATACCAAGCGTTGTTATTTTTAATGAAATGTGTCATGTAATCCGTTTCTCTTAAGTAATCTTTTGACAGCATGGCTCAAAGAAGCCACAAGTTAGAGGAAACGCAGGTCTTTTGGGTCAACTTAGAAGCAAAATTTTTAACAAGATTGATCCCAGACACATAAGTCAAGAAGCTTCTAGATGTCCTGCAAGTTGGCATTCCTTGTTGTGAACGTCATGGACACATCTTGGGAACAAGAATGCGTCTTCTGTGCTCATGGCTATTGGTATGCCATTGATTGGCCACAGGATTCTTAGTTTATCATCCTGAGTCTTAGATCTCTGACCTTTTTACTGCTCTGGGTAGTCTGTAGGTTCCAGGGTTTATACCCGAGATGTGGGTGGCGTTTCAATTTACAGTAGCCTCTCAAGAATGAATAGTGTGTTGTCTGTAAAAGGGATGAGACGTAACCTTTTCAGACCAAGATTTAGTAGCACATTATGGAGCCAGTGTTCACCAGGACCAGACAGTTTGACCTTCCGAAAATGACTGGGCCACTAACTACAAAATTTATTTTTAAAAACCCCAACAGATCTCAGAAGGTAAAGGGCAGACATTTTTGGTTTCTAGAAGTTGCGAAAACAGATTCCAAAAGATGTTGGTAATGGGGTTCTTGAGAGCTAATGCTGAAGGGGAGTAGATTTGATTCCTTGCCAGAGGAAGGTCTGCCTTGAGTATGTTTCTGACGTTCCACTGCAGGACTTCGGCACTTAGATCCCTACCTCCCCACTGCTTCCCTTTCTGCCCTTATCTGCCCATTTATCTATCCATCCATTATCCAAAGCATAGATGCTATGCTCAGCCTGGACGGGGAGAATAGTGAACACAAGACAGATAAGATTCTTGCCCTCATGGGGAAGAGAGACCTCAAACAGTAAACAAACTACGAAATAAAGAACTATAACCATTTTAAGTGCCATGAATGGGACATTGGGGCTGAGATAGAGAACACTTGTTCATATGGGGGAGCGAGCGGGATGGGAGACCTGCTTTATGTTGGGTGAGCAGTGAAGCCTCAGAGGGCAGGGGATGTTCAAGCTGAGACTGAAGGATGAGAAGGCATCAGCCTTGTGAACAACTGAGGAAAGAGTGTCAGTGCAGAGGGAACAGCACGCGTGAGTGTTGGAACCAAGAGAAGGTGGAACAGGAAGCACCTCGTAGGTATCCTTTGGAGTCAGAGTTGCACAGCTCACTGTAGCCATAAGGGAAATTGTGTGTTTTCTAGCCAATGGAAGCCATTGGCTGACCCCTTTCATGGGTTGCATTAGCTGCAACTCAGGGTCTTGGGTCTGCATGAAACCTGTAGCTCAGGTTGGCATCTGGTGGGAATTTGTCTGAGACTCCAGACACATAATAAGATTATGCAGAAGAGATATGTCCATTTTGCCTAACTTTGAGCCTTTTTTGCTTTGGTCTTTGGCTCCAGTTCAACCAAACGTAGTAACCCTTGTAACTTCTTGTGGCATTGGTCAGGAATTAAAGAATGGTGGTTGATTCCCTCCCAAGTATTATTTTCAGACTTATGTTACTCTGTTCTTACCCCCGTTTCTTCCCCCATCCTCATTCAGTATTGTTTTCTCTAGAGAAAATAAATGCTCAGTTCTTTCTTTTAAAAAGTCCTTTTTATGCATTCGACTCTTGATTTCGGCTCAGACCATGACCTCGCAGTTTGTGGGATCCAGCCCTGCATTGGGCTCTGCACTGACAGCGTGTGACCTGCTTGGGATTTTCTCTCTCCCTCTCGCTCTCTGCCCCTCCCCCGCTCACACTGTCTATCTCACTCTCTGTCTCTCAAAATAAATAAAATTTAAAAATTGCTTTAAAAAAGTCCTTTTTTCTCCCATGTGAATGCTGGATGGGATTCTAGTCTAGAGCTTTCCAATATGGTGGCCACCAGCTGTATAGCTGTCAAACACTTGAAACGTGGCTAGTCTGGATTGAGATGTATAAGCTGAAAACCAGATTTCAAAGAGTTAATACAAAAATCTACAAAATAGTTTATGAATTTTTATACAAATATCCATTGAAGTGATATTTTTGATGTATTAAGCTAAACATTATTAAAATTAATATCATTTATTTCTTTACTTTTTTTGAGAGAGAGAGAGAGAGAATGAGCAGGGGAGGGGCAGAGGAACAGGGAGGAGAGAGAGACTCTCCAGCAGGCTCCATGTTCAGCATGGAACCCAATGTGGAGCTCTGTCTTATGAAATGTGGGATCATGACCTGAGCTGAAATTAAGAATTGGACCTTCAGGGGCGCCTGGGTGGCTTAGTCGGTTAAGTGTCCGACTTTCGCTTAGGTCATGATCTCGCGGTTCGTGGGTTCGAGCCCTGCGTCGGGCTCTGTGCTGACTGCCAGCTCGGAGCCTGGAGCCTGTTTCAGAGTCTGTGACTCCCTCTCTCTCTGACCCTCCCCTGCTCACGCTGTGTCTCTCTCTCTCTCCTTGAAATAAATAAAACATTAAAAAAAAATTTTAAAAAAAATAAAAAAGAATTGGACCTTCAACCGACTGAGCTACCACCCAGGTGCCCCTCTTTACTTTTTGTGATGTGGCTGCTAGAAATTGTGGCTTCCATTATATTTCTATTAGACAGCCTGGCCTAGGGGTTCTCAACTGCACCATTAAAGGAATGAAGTACTGAATCATGTGTGGATGAACCTCAAAAGCAGATGCTAAGCGAAAGAAAGCCAGCGCAGAAGACTGGATTGCATGATTCCACTTTTATAAAACGTCCAGATAAGCAAATCCATAGAGACAGAGGATAGATGATCAGTTGTCATAGGCTGGAGAGGGGGAGAGGGAGAGACTGTGAATTGGCACCAGGAGTCTTTTTCGTGTGAGGAAAATGTTCTAAAATTGAATTGTGGTGATGGCTGCACAACTTTGAATATTTACTAAATTATTGAATCATACATCTCAAATGGGCGAACTTTTTGATATGTAACTCACACTTCAATAAAGCCATTAAAAATGAAAAGAAGTCAGTGCCTTGGAGTCTGCAGTTTCAGGGGAATGGAGGGTCCGGAGATAAGATCAGGGAGTCCTCAGTAAGCACTTAGGTCGCCCAAAGAGGGTGTGTTGAAAGAGCTGGGTACACCTCCTGGGGGCAGATGAGGAGGAGACAGCAAGAGAAACTGAGGAACAGGCTGGTGGGCGGGAGGGACACCTGGCAAGTGTGGAGTCATGAAAATCAAGGAGAACACACTTGGTAGGAGGAAGAGAGTGATTCACTGAGTTGACGGTGTTGAGAAGTCAGATAAGAATAGAGAAGACAGTGGATTCGGCCACAGAGCAAGCAGTCGCTGTGGATGGTGAGGCCAGAAGCCAGCTGCCGTGGGGTGAGCGTGGGAAGCCACAGGGCCTCCAGAAAGCTCCATCAGCAGGTTTTGTAAAGGAGAGAAATGGGAATGGAATTAGAGGGATAAAGTGGGCCCAGAGGAGGTTTCAAAGCTAGATTGTGCATATCCGGAACGTGTTTGTATGCTGATGGAAATGCTCCAGAAGAAAGGAGGTTGGTGATGTTAGAGGTGGAGGGAGGGCACTTGCAGAGACAGAGGTCCCGAGAAGGGTGGGTGGGGTAGGACCCAGGGCACGGGGAGGAGGTCTGGGCTTGGCAGAATCGGGATGCTTCCCCAGAGTACCAGGACGGGAGGTGGAGGGTGATGGGCAGGCACAGGTAGGCGGGTGCGTCTTACAGAAGCGTGCCAAGACCCATCTTACTGGTTCTCTTCTCCAGGGAAGGAAGCGAGGTCTTCAGCTGCAAAGAAAGGCAGGAGAGGTCGGGGTGGGGATGTGGCTGGGTTGAGGAATAACAAGAAGGTAGATACCTTCTTGTGGCTGCTGCCCTTCAGGGCCAAGCACAGGACAGGTGCTTCACAAACCTTTGCTGAGAGAAAGCAGTGCGTGCGTTCTCGAGCTTTAGCATGCACAGAAGGGATCGCCCCCGGTGCTTGTTAAAATGCGGACGCGTGGCTTCTTAGCTCAGAGATTCTGATTCAGGAGGCCCCTGGGAAAGCAAGAAACCCCTGCGTTTTTAACAACATCCCCAGAAAATTCTGAAGCCCGTGGTCAGCAGGCTGCAGTTTGAAAATTGCTGGGGGAAAAATGTACATGAACAACACAAAATGAAATTTATGTGAACATAGCCTTACAGATAGCAGGCACTGGGGGTTTAATGAGACTCCGTTCTTTCCAGCAGACCAGTACTTAGGCATAATTAGATTTCCCATTTCACAAATAATTAAGTTCAGTTGTTTCTTGTTTCGGGGAAAAGATGAATGTTCGCTGGTGAAAAAAGAAAGAAACAGTCTAACATCAATGTATACTTTTCTTTCCAGGGGAGAGAGCAGAATGTGGCACGACCAGGTAAGAGCTGGGGATCTGGGTTGTTTCCACCTGCTGCCTGAGGTGGGGGGGGGTGGGGCAGGAGAGGCGGGAAGGTGGGAAGGGGGGAAGGCCGGTGCTGCCGAGGAGCACAGAGAAGCTGGGCTGTTCTTAAGGGTGGGCTAGCCCTTCCCCAGTGTCTCCAGGGGGGGGTGGTGCAGCCCGTGCAAGAGAGAAGGCTGGCTGCTCTGCTTGTGCTGGCATTGTGCTGGTGAAGCCACGCCCCCTACAGGCCGGTGCCGGGGAGGCGCCTTTCCCAGCGCTGTGGGAAAGCGGGGGGGGGTACCTTCCGTGGGCACTACCCGTCTGGTGGGGCAGTGATATATATTGCAGAGTGGCTGAAGACAACCAGTAGAGGCCAGAGGCTGTGGGGGTAGCTGTTGACCTGTTTCACCATCTGTTCCGTGGCTGCTGAGCAGACTGTTCAGCCCGGGCGGAGGGCCCGGCCTGGGGTCCCCATTTGCTAAAGGCTTTGGATTTGGCTCGTATGGCACACATGTGGGCAGATGCATGCGCAGGGCCTCACAAGCGCGCACAGATGCCCCTACTGCCGAAGCCCTGGCTTCAGAGCTCCTGGGCACTTGGATGGACTGATGGGGGAGCCCTTTGCTGGGAAAGTAACCAATGGGCAACTTCTGCTTTCTCTCCAGCTTGCTCAACATTACCCTTTGCGCTTTTCCTTGAGCAGACCAGAGCCAGTGGACACTTTCCACTCAGCAGCTGGTAGCTGAGGGGTTGACTTTCAGAGACTGGACCTTTCCTCTACTTTCAGAGGGTTGAAATCCATAAGCAGCCATGTTGCTGCCTGAGTTGTTCCTTAGAGCCCATCCCTCTCCGAGTTCCCAGCAGTAGTTATCCCACTGCCCAACACGAATCGAGCCCGGGGCCCAGAATCCTGGAAAGCTGTTATACTTGGCGTGAGGAAAGATGAACCCTCAACCCCCTCCTGCTCATCTGGATGATAGTTGGCTGAGACGAGGCCTGGAAAGCTCTGAGGTTTTCAGTTCGCTGGGCCCAGGGTGGGAGAGACGGAGGGCTTTCCAGAAGCTCAGCTCTGCAGCTGTTCTGCTGGGCCCTGCCCGTCTGGGGGCGACAGGACGATTCGTAATGCCAGGCGAGGGCCTTCCTGCACGAGGGCCCGCAGATGTGCAGGGTCACTTTCTAAGAGCCTTTCAGAAACAAACTCCTCATTTATTTATTTCATTTTTTCTGGCAAGAGGATGTTGTAGTCCCCAAACAACAGAAGCCACATTTTACACCAAAGTCTGCAAATAGGAAAGCAGATGGGGGATAACTTGAGCCATCCCTCGCTTCCTCCTAATTCCTAGAACTCACGCAAACGAAGATGGTTCCAGCAGATTGCCAGAGAGATCTGTAATCGAACCCTTGGCCAGGGCCCAGGGTCTACCTCAGAGAAAAGTTCGTGTTTTTTGCTTTTTAAAAAAGCCATCTGAGATGTAGTCTTCCACACCCTCTTTGACCCAGGGCCTGGGAAATGCAAGCTGGGACTACAGACCTCCCACTTAGATATATAGTAAACCACAAACCCAGCCATCTGTACTCTGGCCCTTGGCCAAGGTCAGAAACAACTTTGTTGGTAAACTAAAAGCTTCCCCTTACTTCCAAAAACCATTTTAAACTTGTTGTTTAAGATGGCAATGCCCTGCCAACTTGAAGTGGTTTTTAATTTAATCCTAAAGGCCCTGGCTGCGATGTTTCTATGCTATGGCTCACTGTATTTTCTGCGGTTTCCTGCCCAAGGTTAGTGTCATTTTGGATGATCCTTTGAGCAGGTCCCCTTAGCCAAGCTGCTGCTGACCCTGTATAGACCGACCAATTTTTGCACATGGGCTGCAGCACGTTACATTTTTTTCTCACACTTAACAAACTTAGAATAATCCCAGTTCATAACCCTGTAAAGTAGTCAGACCAGATGCAATAGTGCCCTTGAACAGTGTGTGCGTAAATGGCATAGCCAGATGCAAGCGTAGGATTTAATTGTGTTTGTTCCAACCACAGACTGGCTTCCCTAACCCAGGCTGGCTTGTCCCCGTGGCTCGGATTAGCCGTGAAATCACTTGAGATTTCTTGTCCAAACAGATGCAGCCTGACGCACACTCATGCACCCTTCCAAGGGCCTGACTGCCACTGAACACAGTGCTACCCCCATTTTGGATGTTCACACACACATCTCTTGGGCTACCTAGGGAACGTTTTAATCACTACCCTTTTGGTCACAGAGTAATTTTGAGGCCGATTCCTATGTTGCCAATATATGTTACTTTTCATCTTGGTTGAAAGGCAGAAAGGGGACATTGGTCTCTGGTTTCTCTCTCTTCCTCTCCGTGGCTTTCTCTGTTCCTGTTTTCCCTGCCTTTCTCTCTCTCTCTCTCTCTCTTTCTTTCCGTTTTGCTCTGCAACTGAGCAGCAGAAGAGATGGAAGGCTTAGGCTGCCCCACTTTCCTTGGCTGAGCTGCCCCCCTGCTCCCCACTTTGTGCCCCACCCAGCACTTCAGTAAGTCAAAATTGATTTGATGTCATGCAAAGTTGGGATAGCTACGTTTCCTTGTCAGAGATTTCCGGTCAGTGCACGGGCCACCACACGGAGAAGGAAATCCCGTTGTGATTTGCACAGTCCTTTGCTTTCTGGATTGGGCAGGAGAAATGGGAAGAGTATCCTTTTCCCCCTTTATTCCATTTTGTAAAGAAAAAAATCTCCTTTCCACTTATTTTAAGGACACTCTTCAGCTGGGCACCCTAGATTTTTTTTATATCGGGGTGTCCAACATCTACATTAAGAATCTCTACTTTTGCTTCCCATGGGTGTTCAATAGATAATTTAAAGTGGCCACAGGATGTTCTGTGATGAAGTCAACTTCCCAATTTCATATTCATACCAGAATTTTGAGTAGGAAGAGCCGAATTAGCCCCAGTCACGTATTTTGTGTGTGACCCTTGGGAAGTTTCTTAATTTCTCATGGGCTCATTTGCCTTATGTTTAAAGTGAATGTAGTAAGTCTTGCCTGCCTCACAGGGTTGTTGTGAGGGTATCATGCATGAGATAAGGAAGCCATCTAAGAACGCTCAAATAGAAACCCCAAACACTAGGGAAACGAGGTGGTGCAGCTGCTCGCCTCACGTTATCCCTGATCCCAAGATTTAAAACCTATGGCCTTGTGTCACATTGTTTACTGTCTCTTTTGGCATTGGGAAGCTCAAAAGCAGATCCATTGTAAGAAATACCACTCCCACATACCCGCATCCTCAAAAATTCAGCAACTTGTGAAAAAGAAATGACATGGACTTAGCTAACCAAATTGACATAGATCCAAGATGGGCTCGAAATAGTCTTGCCTTGTTGTTTCTTTTCAAAATTTTGGTCTGTGCTGTTATTTTGGTTCCAGTGTTTGGGTGGCATGATATTTGGATTCAGCTGTGTCCTTGCCCATGCATGTCCTGCAGCTAGCAGCATTTGCTCAATACCCAAACAGGTAGGAGAAGCTGACTAGATTTCCCTAGACGGCCCGGCTGCTGAAGAAGACAGGCACAGCGAGGCCAGTGAGCAGAGGCAGCACGAACCTCTTCCACCTTGATTGGCTCCACAATCCATAAGATTTCTTGCCCATCCACAGAAATCAATGAAGACTGTGGGGGCCAGGTCTTTGCTCGTCACATGTGGACGTTTTATCTGTGCCAGGCTGGGTCCCCACTAGTTGCTCCCCAAATTGTGAACCAGGCCATTTGAAAACGAATTGCCTCTCTTGGTTAGGGGCCCTCCTCCTAACCTCAGAAAGCCCTTTGCCCTGGAAGGCTGGCAGCCTTGAGTCAGGCCAACTTGGGTGGCGAAAGATGAGCAAATAAGCCAACACAGGTATATGCATGGTGAGCAACTCTGGAAACTGGTCCAGTGTTTGTGGCTGTTTCACTGATACTGGTGAACTGTGGTATGGTTTCCCCTCCCTGGAGCCAAGAGTGCAGCACAGGGAATGGAGATCCTAAGTAAAGCAAGACACTTTCAACCTGACCCAACGGGTCCTCTGCTGGCAAGGGTTAATGGGATGGAAAGAATCCTAGGCTGGAAACAAAAACAAAACAAAACAAAACAAAAACGGGCCCTAAGGCTCCATGGCTGACCTGGTGGGAAAAATCTTGGCATTGGAGCCAAAGAGGCCTGAGTTTGGGACCTGGCTCTGCCAGTCCCCCTCTCTAGGCCTCAGAGTCTACCTCTGTAAAATGGGACCGTACGTCAGGGTTGAGCTGACGTTAAGTGTGATAATGGATTTGAAAGCGCTTCAGTCAAAGGTGTACTTGACAAAAGAACAGGATACAGTCATCGTCCCGCATCACGCGCGGACCCCCAAGAAGCTGTAGCCTCCCTCTAAGGCATCAGTATCTTCATCGCTAAAATGAGAATAATAATTGCCTAGCTCTTAGATCAATGAAATAAAGATTAGTCAAGTGCATTTGAAATGCCAAGAGGCATTAGAAAGCTCAGTGCCCTGGTACATTGGGAGTTGAGGCTTGGTGATGAATTTAAGCCAAAGTAATGAAAATTAACCCTTCCAATCATCATTGAAAGTGCCTTGCTTTCTCAGGCTACAGATTACATCTCTGTCCCCTGGTTCCTCCTCCATCTGGTCAGCTTTGTGGGATGACAGCCTCCGATTGGGGTTTCAGTGGTTTCCTGGATACATACTATTTCCCCCTGTGATCTTGAATGCATTTGTGTGATGCGAGCATTGCTCCTGCCTGACATTGTGGGTAAATTAAGATTCCCTTATGCATCCAAAGGCCTTCAGATGGAGCATTGGACACCAATGTGCTGGGGGTTCAGGGGCTTCCATTTGCATTCTGTGTTCTCCTTCAGCCATGGGTCTTAAGAGCGTCTTTCCCAGTTGTATGTTTGCGTTGGTTGCTTTCTTGATTTCTTTTGTTCCATTTTCCCTAGGCCCCCCTGTCTTCCCCCTAAACCACAGAAAATGAGGAGACCTAGGCCTCTCTCAGTGTGTAGCCATAAACTATTTAACGGCTGTATGGAAGCGTTTATTAAGGTACTTGCTGGGGAGCCACGGAGTCCGCGAATGCGCCCAATGTAATGGCAGCCTTTCTCCACCTCCTCCCCTTGGCCAACGGCCCTACCCCGACCCACTGGAACTTTCAGTCATGCCCTGGCCCGGCCCTGGGGTGAGCTAGTTCCTCACGGCCGCCTCCTCTTAGCTTCAGCAAGGGCTTCTAGACAGACTATTTTGGTCTCTGACCATTTGATCTTAAGTGCCTTCCCGGGATCCTCAGCCCCAGAGGAGGGATCCGATCCTGATGAAACCCATGGAGTCCAAGTGGGGTTGAAATGCCAGCCATGCTCTCCTGCTTCAGAAACTGCAGTCCTAGCTAGCCTGAGGGGCAGTTAGGAAGCCACCTTGCCTCACTTCACATCCACGCCTCTCAAGAGGAGATTGGTTAGAAGCAACACAAAGAAAATCCCTGCAGATAAGAGTGTGTTTTTATACAATTAGTTATGATGATGATGATGATGATGATGATGATTAATTTTGATTGACACTATGGCAGCAAAAGAAACACATAAAATGTTTGGGAGAAAACTCTCCCTCTTGATTTTGCTTTCTGTTAGGCATTTTGGGAGAAAGGAGAAGCGCTGAGGTAGTCCCTTTAGAATTCTAGATTAACCTTGTTCATCCTAAACTAAACATGAAAGTTGCAGCTCAGTGGGCTTCTCTTTTCTTGCCTCCTGGATGCAGAGGGCAGAGGACCGAGGTGTCCGAGGTAGAAGGAATGGGGGCTCAAGGTCACTGACGGATTGCAAGAGAAAGCGGGGGGGGGGGCGGGAGATGCTTGAGAAACCTTAGGGGGAGCAGGGGAGAGGGTCCCTGCCAGTTATTTGAGAGCCCTCCATTATCCAGCAAAGCTACTTCTTGCAGAAAAGAAGGCTGGTGTCAGGCAGGAGAAAACTAAATGCTCTTGAGCTTTGCTGGCGATTTTGGAGTACTGGAAACTGCCCTTGCTCGGTGTACCCTCCTCTGTCCTGACAGGCTGCACACGGGGCCTGCAGGATGGGGTGGGGTGGGGCAGGCATGGGACCAGGTAGGCAGAGCCAGCCTGGGTCCCAGAGCTGTCTCTGCCGGTGAGCTGAGTTCTGGGGAAAGTTCCAGAAGGGGACAGCAGAACATTAGGGCACCAGTTGGGACTGCCCCGGGGCAGGGAACAGCAAGGGCTGCTTTAGGATGCCTAAAGGTGAGGCACGGAGGACCCCAGAAGGAGGGCTGCCACTGTTCGGAGGGGACCCAGAGTGAGCAGTTTGCCATCCAACAGGTCATGGGAGACGCAGCTGCGTGAAGAGTCGTTTCTTTATCGCCCTTCCTGTCTCCACCAAGACTTGTCAGTCCACCCTTACCCTCAGAAAAGCCACTTTCCTTAGCTAAGAGGGGACCAAAAGGCACATTAGCTATTCTCCCTGCCTTCAAGGAGCATATAGGGGCGCTCAGGAGGTTTTTAGCACAGAAAGCTAAGGCCATTCAGGTTGCGCACTCTGTGAATTACTGCCTGCTCGCAAGTTCCGTGGGAGCCCAGAGCCAGAAGAGCTAGGAGCGGTGAACACAGGAGACTTCTGCAGGCGTGTGGGCGTGTGACAAAAGGAAAGGAATAAAGCAGAGAGGAGCCGGACACAAGTCCCTGAGAGGAGGAAGACCATGGTCAGAGACAGGCCTTCCCGGATTTACCCAGCTCTTTGGAAACGGGTCATCAGTCAGGGCACTTGGAAGGAACTGACTCTCATTCATCGGGACTTGAAAATTCCGTGTTCTGTTTAACGAAATAGTCTTTGAATAGAGAGCTCCTGCATAAAGTATGTGACGGCCACCTACTCTGACCTTCTTCCCCCTGAACTCCTTCAACTGCACGTTTGCCCCCAGAGGTAATGACCGTGAGAAGCCAACACAGTCTTATTCTAAATCTACTGTCAGTGCTGCAGTCAGTCAGCGTTCCTTACAGCCGGTAGCACGGCCCTGGTCGCTGGTGCCCAGACTTCGTATTAGAATGGACACCCTGGTCATTGTAAGGAAAAGCGTCCTTCCGTTCAGTGCCGCAACACCCCGGAGGTAGAAAACGGCAAGAGGCATGAGCTACCGAGGGGCTGGCTGCCTGGCTCTGAAAACCCACCTAACGCATGTCACATTGCTGGAGTAAGTGCACAGCATCTAACTCAGGGGACTCGGAACAATGACACTCATTTGGCCGGAAAGAAATATATATGGTCTGTTTGTCAGCCATGATGTCATTTCTTCACAGCCACACTGTACTTATGCCACAAGCTGTCAGAGCAGTTCAACAGACTCTTCCGTGTGCCTGCTATGCTAGGCGGTATGTGGACGCACTTACACGCAGCAGGGGCTGGCCCTCAAGGATTATTGACTTTTGGAGAATGAGAAAGTCCTTCAACCTTTGTGAATGGAATGTAATTTTCTCTGATGATTCACATGATGTCTGGAAGATTCCACGTGATTGGAGAATACCCAGCTTTGAAATGCCAAACCCGCGGAAGGCTTTTCAGTAAAATAACATCCCTGGGACTCCGTGATTATGAGGGTTTAGCCAGATGAGAAAGCATCCCCAGGTTAAGAATGATGGATGCATTTATAGATTTCTAGGATCCTCAGAATTGACCCTTTTCAACATCTCAGCCAGAAGGAAACCCAGTTTTTATTACAAATTTTGAAGCCATTTAAATGTTATTTGTTCCACCCAGCCAGAAGGGAACTCAATTTTTATTATAAATTTTGAAGCCCATTTAAATTGTGTTATAAATTTTTGGAGGAAGAGCCCTCACCCCATTTCTATAAAATGAGAATATTAATTACCTAACTCGTGCACATATGATGCAATCAAATGACCTAATAGATGCCATGCTTCTATAGAGTACTCCTGGCACACAGTATGTGCTGTGGAAATACTAGCCCTTATTGTTGCCATTAGCTTTTAGGAAATTGCTCATAGCATCCCACCTGACAGGCTGTTTGCTCTGGCATTCAGGTCATTTTAGCCAACATCTAATTCTAGTGGTTTAGATGCTGGGGACTGGACAGATGACACCAGCTTGAAGGCATCCATCCCCCACTGTCTCAGGTCAGCCTCTCAAGGAGCCTGGGTGAGACGTGGCTCCCACGCCAGAGCCTGACTGCTGCACACATGGAAGAAAGAACAGACCGTGCTCCCCTGAAAATGGGTGGCGACAGTGCAAGTAAAGGCTCCAGTGCTACCTGCAAGGTCATAATGACGTTTTGACTCTCTACTGCGCTCCCTCCCCCAGGCCTTTCTCAGCTTTGGGATTCCCTGAAGTATTCTCAGTGCCAGTGTGAGGGTCAGGGGGTAGGAAGGAGAGCAAAGCCTATGGATACATACCCAGGAAGAGGTACCCAGGGTGTTTGGTTGGAAAGCATGGGAAGCTGTTTGAATGTGGAATCAGGTGGGATCCCGTTGGGCTGTATCCACAAGGCGCCTAATAAACGCAATCTTGGTACAATTAACTTTTTACTAAGAATGAGGTTTCCTGAATTGACTTCCAGGGGCAGTGTTACAGCAGATGCCAGAAGGTGTGTGTCCCTCCTTTTTGTGGGCATCTGGGCTAAGCTTAAGGTATCTTAGGTGGGCCCTTGCCCTTTGGTGAGTAAACAGCCCCCGTGTTGAGGAGAAGCTAAACGTGGGATGAGGAAGGTGCTCAGTACACACCACCCCTGTGCTTGTGACAAGGACTGCTAGAGCCCCTTTGCCACCTGGTGTCCAAGGCAGGCACCCTGGGAGGCTGGCGGGGGGCAGGGTGCGAGCTCCCGCGAGGCCCTGAGGCGCAGGGGGGCCCTCCCCATCGGCAGACTGGCCGGCAGTCTCCCCAGGACCGTTGCTGGCTGCCATTGCATTTCGGCGTTCACGGACTCTGAAGGATCTGCCTACTCTCACTGATCTTACTCCTGCATAATCTTTTCTTTTTCTCCTGCTCTGCTGCCTGTTTATTTTTTGTTATCAGAGGAAGAAGAAATGCTCGAACCAGGAACCAGGTATTTACTAGAAAGGTCCGTTAGCTCCATTCAACTGAATGGAACCTGTCTTTAGTACTGACTTCTAGAGCAGGGCCCACCTTGCCTATTGCCACAGGGCCCATTTTACTATCCTCTCCCTGACTGTAGCTAATCAAGGAGTGAATTCACAGGGGTGGGGGGCGGTGTGGAGGAGCCCCAAAGGCATCAAAATCTGTGGGTGTTTTCTGTCCCTTTACGAGAGCATATTACATTTGCCTTATTGTTTCCTCACCCGAGGAGGCTAGTAATTTAACTTGGCCCCTTTTAAAGGCAATTTAAAAATGATTTTATGTTATTTAAGTGACCTGAAATAACAGAGAGATCAACCAATCATGGAATCCAAGAGAAAACTACCCCTTGCCTAGCTCTTTGTGGCTGTGGGCCCATCTAAGAAGATGTAATTGAAAGTACATTCACCACCTCCCCCACCGACGTGTATATTTACAGCTACATCTGATGCAGCCTTTTTGACTAAGGTTGACCACTCAGTGGTCAATGGCTGACATTAGCTGTTTCCAGAACTTTTCCTCCTAACATGTTTATTGTGGAACAAAGCATCTGCATGGGTGTTTAGATTGGAACCTCGGGAGTAGACCTGGCCTTCCTTTCTCAGAGCTCCAAAGAACCCTTGGGGCCATCCTTATTTCCCATAGTGCGTTCTTCTTAATTCAGGCATCAGATAACTGCCATGCTAGAGGACGTCTTTGAATCCTGCCTTTTGATGCTTGAGCGCTGGGAAGATAGGGTTGAGTGGGGCAACATGGAGTGAAGGCAGAGCTCCCCAAGAGCAAACTCCAGCCCTATCCGTGCAGTGGGTTCCCTCCCCTTCCCTGATGTGCCTGTCAAGCCTCCTGAACCCTGATTTCTTCCCAGCTGAGTAAGAAGACAGAGCATTTCTTTAAAATTATCATAACTATGCCTTTTCCGCACGTAACTGGAGATTTTCTATTTTAACCGTTGGTGGAGACTTTAGGATTAGCAACGCCTTGCTTATTTTCCTACTAATCCGATGGTACTAATATTCTGGCTTGAGTTTGTAATCTGTGTCTGCAGTGTCGTTTTTCCTCTGCTGGCTGCCATGCCCAGTACAACTCACAATTTTTTTTCTTAAGGATTCAGGACAAGCTATACCACTCGTAGTCGAGAGCTGCATCCGGTACATCAATTTATACGGTAAGCTTGATCTTGGGGCAGTGTTCTCAGCTCTCTCCAGAACAGGTGCTGGGCTGTTCTCAGAGGAAATGAGACTCTCAGAGGAAATGAGACTTCATCTTGGAAGGCTTCCTGTTACTGCCCTGCTTCCTAGAGAGAATATGTTTCTTGCCACAGCTGCTGTGCTGAGTGCTCTTCTGAGCTCATCGGCCCGGGGACAGAAGGCAGTGGTTAAGAGGACCCAGGAACTAGGAGAACCGGGGATCAGGGAAGGCATGGCTAGGAGAACCATAGAAGTTCCTTCCCCTCTCCTGCCCCACCTCAGAGTGCTGTGCTGTGAGCACTGAACATAGCCAAGCCAGTCAGTTAGCAGGTTGACTGCAGTATGCTCCATAAAGGAAATCTGGGGTCTGGGATTTGCCAGGCACTCCCTGCGCTTCATTTGTGCTTCCATCTTTTCATTCATTCACTCCTCCAAAAATATATTTTCAGAATGCATAGCAGGCGCTGCTCTGACAATGGGAAGGAATACAGGAGTTGAATGACTAAGACGGGTGAGGCGCGGGCCTTAGGTAGCTTACATTACCAATGAGAAGGGCGAGGAAATAAACATAAGTAAATGATACAGGTTCATTAATGGTAATGCCTAGAAACTAATTAAAAAGCGCTAGAGAATGTCTGAAGGACAGCAGGGCTGCTTTGGCGAAGGAGGCGAGGAGAAACATGACTGAGGGTGACACTTGAGTAGGGAGGCCAGCCATGCAGTCTCCAGTGGGGAGCACCGCAAATAGAAAGGTCTAAGAAGGAAGGCAAGTGTGACCTGATGGGGAGGAGCCAGGACGATTGGATACAAGACACAGGTGGTAGAAATTTGATATTGGTTAAGGAAAGACCTAAACAAGCTTTTATTGAGCATGTACTATGTACAGACCAAACTTGGACTAAAGCCCGCCTTTTAGAGGTAAACACGTTTCTAAATAACAATGTGGAGAGTTGTTTTATATAGAAAAACTGAATGTGGGGGAAAAGATCACAGTCACCCCATTACTCCCCATTTAAGATGAGAGAGGCCCCTTTAACCCCTTCAATTCTATAGTTTATAATCCTATGTCATTTACTATTATGTCAGGTATCAAGGTCTCCTCTTTGTTATAGTCTTGTAGAAAGATATTAAAAAAAGAGATTGTTCTTCTTTAATGAGTTAATGCCCCCCAAACTCCTTGATCCCAGGCCAGCATGCACTCTGGACTGTAGCTTTTCTGGAAGGAAGAAGATATCTGTGTAGGTAGGGGGTGGTAGTGGTTGAGTGAGTGGTATTAATCATTCTCGCTCAAAATCTCTGTGGCTGTTACACTGAAAATGGCACTTGTAAACTCAGGCCAAGGTACTCAGTATCAGTGTACCTGGTGAACTTGGTAGGCAAAGTGCCTGTTGGTTAAACTGGAAGTTATTCACTGGTCCTGGGTTGATGTAAACCTCTTGTGGCCTTTTCCTTTAAGCCCAGAAAAGAGATCACAGACGTATGAAGCAAGATGCCTCAGAGTATTTTGGCCACAGCTGAAGTTCATTGCAAAGACTACATTTGGGCTTCTGCCAAGAGATCGTTATTGGGAATGACTCTTGAAGAAGAATGGTGGTATAAACATTACAATGTTAAAAAAAAAAAAAAAAAAAAAAGAATGGTGGGATAAAGAGACAAGCAATGGGAAGGTTCATCAATGTTTCCAAGTGATCTGATGAGCTCAAGGCATCATGGCATTTTGTGTTTGTTCCTTTCTTTCTTTTAGGACTCCAGCAGCAAGGGATCTTCCGAGTGCCAGGATCTCAGGTTGAAGTCAATGACATAAAGAATTCCTTTGAGAGAGGTAGGTGCAGAGTATCCATCTCAAGCTTGTGTCCAGAGGAAGCCAGGATGGGTGGTGTTTGTCTTAGAGTCAGCAGTGTGCCGGGGCTGGCGCATAGCAACATCTCTTTCCAAGTTTGCGTTGAGTGCCTTCACCTTAGTAGCTTGAAATCAGCCAAGGCAGGAGTATTTACACCACAGAAGTTGGCAAACGCTAAGATCTTTTCTCTGTCTTTTTCCCTCCAAGGAATTAGCTGTAAAGCCTTTACCAGCACCTGAGTGACTTTGTCTAGTGACTGTAAAGTAGTTGCTGGGAAAGAGGGTCTAGTAAAGCACTCGAAATTATGATAGGAGTTTCTGAAGGCTGCTGAGACTTTTAGAGAACTTGAAAGGACACAGGTAACACTGAGTGGCTTTTAGAATATCCTAATGCTTGGGTTTTTAAAACTTAAATTAATTTTTATTTTTTAATTTACATCCAAGCTAGTCAGCGTATAGCGCAATAATGATTTTGGGAGTAGAATCCAGTGATTCATCCCCTGTGTATAACAGCCAGTGCTCATCCCAAAAAGGGTCCTCCTTTATGCCCCTTACACATTTGGCCCCTCCCCCCACACACCACCCCTCCAGCAACCCTCAGTTTGTTGTATGTTTAAGAGTCTCTTATGTTTTGTCCCCCTCCCTGTTTTCTTTTCTTTTATAGTTTATTGTCAAGTTGGTTTCCATATAACCCCCAGTGCTCATCCCCACAAGTGCCCTCCTCCATGCCCATCACCCCCCTTCCCCTCTCCCCCACCCCCATCAGCCCTCAGTGTGTTCTCAGTATTTAAGAGACTCTTATGGCTTGCCTCCCTCCCTCTCCTTAACTATTTTTTCCCCTTCCCCTCTCCCATGGTCCTCTGTTAAGTTTCTCCTGTTCCACATATGAGTGAAAACATATGGTATCTGTCCTTCTCTGCCTGACTTATTTCACTTAGCATGACACCCTCGAGTTCCATCCACGTTGCTACACGTGGCCAGATTTCATTCTTTCTCATTGCCACATAGTATTCCATCGTATAGATGAACCACATCTTCTTGATCCATTCGTCGGTTGATGGACACTTAGGCTCTTTCCATGATTTGGCTATTGTTGAGAGTGCTGCAATGAACGAACATTGGGGTACACGTGCCCCTATGCATCAGCCCTCCTGTATCCTTTCGGTAAATCGCTAGCAGTGCTATATATATATATAATGGTGTGGTATATATCTATATACCACATCTTCTTTATCCACTCATTCATCAGTGGACATTTGGGGTCTTTCCATACTTTAGTTATTGTTGATAGCACTGCTATAAACATTGAGGTGAATGTGCCCCTTTGAAACAGCACCCCTGTATCCCTTGGATAAATACCTAGTCATGCAATTGCTGGGTCATAGGGTAGTTCTATTTTTAAGTTTTTGAGGAACCTCCATACTGTTTTCCAGAGGGGCTGCGCCAGTTTGCATTCCCACCAGCCGTGCAAAAGAGATCCTTTCTCCACATCCTCGCCGATATCTGTTGTTCCCTGAGTTGTTAATGTTAGCCACTCTGACTGGTGTGAAGTGGTATCTCATGGTGGTTTTGATTTGTATTTCCCTGAGGATGAGTGATGTTGAGCAGGTTTTCATGTGTCTGGTCTAATGCTTAGTTTTTTATGCAGTGTTTTGGCCCCCCAAAAATTGAGAACCCCATTCCCAAACCCATTTTCCTGTAGCATATCACATCCCAATTTACAAAACACTTTTTTATCCTTTCTTTTACATAATCTTCCTACAGTCTTGGGAGGTATTTGGTTTGTCCCTGTTGGCTGTGCTCTGAGCATGCCTGTCCCTGGGCTCTAGGCCTGGAGTCTCCCTACTCATTGCTGGGCTTCCTCTAGAGGGGCTGCCTCTTAAGCAAACTAACCCCTGAGTCCATCCTGAGGTCTAGCTCTCGAGTAGAGGAAGCACTCTGTCCACCCCAGCCAGACACTGCTGCAGCCCCCAGCACAGACCTCTGTGGCCCTTGGCACTTGGGCCTCACACCAGGTTTAGAGAGCAGGGTTTGGCTGGATGTGGTGCTCGGCAGCCTTCTAATGTCCCGAGGAGCTTGTTTTGGAGCCTGCTTCTGGATCACGGGCACCTAGAACCCGGAAGCCGCAGAGCGCCCCTGTTCCAAGCTCCTACTCATGCATTTATTCATCCTCCCAAAAACCATGCATTCGTCATGCCCTACACCGGGCTAGGGAGTGGGCTAGGGCCTGGAAACACAACAGGAACAAAAGACAGTCATGACTAGTAGGGAGCCAGTTGAGCAAACAGACAACAGAGTAAGCTTTGGATGGTATGGGAACCCTTAGCCCAGCTTGGATGGGGTGGGGAGGGGTAGTAAAGCCAGAGAAGTCTTCCTCGAGGAGGAGAAGCTCAAGCTGGGGCTTAATGAGTAAAAGCCTGAAAAAGCAGGGAAAGTGCATTCCAGACTAAGGGAACAGCATATGCAAAGGCCAGAAAGCAGTGAGGCTGATGGGAGGGTCAGTCATCATTCTCGGAGCATCTCTTGACAGCACTGGACAGCCCAATCCAAAGTTTTGTTTCTTCATTTCCCCCAAACCCCCTGCTGTCCTGTGTTCACTGTAAATCACCAGAACCATGGTCTGAAATCTTTGCTGGTTCCATCCTCCTGGACCCTTCCCCTTACGCAGAATTCCTTGAGACTCATGGCTGAACTCACTGCCCGTTGCCTCCAGCCTGGTGACTGCCACTGCCTCAAATTTCCCTGCTTCTCTCTTGTACCAGGAAGCCAGGCCCTATCCCCACCCCAAGAGCACTGCTTTCTTTCCTTCTTGAATGTGGTTCTCTGAGGTCAGTGCCTTCTGTCACTTGCTTGGGTGCCTTGCAGGGGTGATGTACAATTTAAGACTTCTCTGTTCCGAAGAGGCCTTGGATCGCCCCACTGGGCAGAGATCACCTGATCCAAATCTCAGCTACCAAAATGTTTTCTGCTTTTCCTTTGCCTCAAATATGCAGTCAGCTCCTCTAGATCTTTCCATCATTCCAAAATGAATCTCATTCTTGTGACAGCTGGGGCTTTCTGCTCCACCTAAGCTTATCATGAACCATGGCTTATTCTACAAAAAAAAAAAAAAAAATTAGTTCCTGGAATGTCTCTTTCAGAAAAGTCAGTTCCTGGCTTCTCTGGGCTGGCTAGTGCCCAGATCTCCCACTTACTCTTTTCTGTTTCTTCATGTTCGCCAACAAACTGCCCTGGGTTTGGCTCCTTGCCCAGCTGACCCTCAGGGTCACCTCCGCCTCTCCTGAAAATTTCTCTGCACCCTGGCAACCAGGTGGCAAACCTAGGGTGTTCAGTATTTCTCTTAGCGCCCACTGCTCCGTCCCACACACTCTAACTTGTGACTGAATTTTCTCTCAAAACCAGCACATTGTATGTTTTATTTGTTAAAATGCAAGTCTCCTAGTCCCTGCAGGGTGCCTGTCCTTTGCCATTTGTTCAAGATCCAGGTCTTTTTCTTCCTTGGCCCCCTTCTTTCTCTCTCGGGTGAAGTTTTTGCCTGCATTCCTTGTATGAGGCTGTTCAAAGGAGCACAGATCTGTTTTCTTTAAGATTCTGAAAAATGGCAACATGTAGGAAAATCATTCTTGGCTTATTATGCCTAAGCCCACTTTCTTTTTCTTCTGACATGAGTCAGCCAGGGTTTTAGTCGAGCTGGTGATGATAATGATATGATTTTTTTTAAATGTTTATTTTTGAGAGAGAGAGTGAGACAAAGCATGAGCAGCGTAGGGGCAGAGAGAGAGGGAGACACAGAATCCTTAGGCTCCAGGCTCTGAGCTGTCAGCACAGAGCCTGATGCGGGGCTCAAACCCACAAACTGTGAGATCATGACCTTAACCAAGTCAGACACTTAACCAACTGAGCCAGCCAGGTGTCCCTAATGATGTGCTTCTTTGCTGTCAGCAAACCTTAAACTCATCACTCAAGTTTTGTGATCTTTCTGTAATCTGACAAAATGAAGAGGAAATATCACAAAAAGGCAGGAAAGTGGCAGCCCTGCCGCGGAGAGCCATGCTGGCTTCTTGTGTCTCAGGCCAGTTTCCCTGGACAAACTGTTTTCTCCCCCACCAACCAATCCACTGTCCCCTTTGCAGGTAACAATGAGGGGGCGGCCAGGGGTCTCTCCTTATTTGGAGGGGTGGCTGGAAGGGGAGTCCATGGCCTTGTCAGCCTGTGCAGGTCAGGACAGGGTTTGGATTTGAGGCTGAAGTCACGGCATGTAGAGTCGGACACATTTGAGATGTGGCCCTTCAGAGATCTATTTCCTGCCCCAGGGAGACGCTGGGAGGGGTTGTCATGGTGAGGAGCCTCAGCACAGGCTTAGGAAGGCCTGTGGCCACAGAGATGCCCTTGTGTGAGACCACCTGCGGGCTTCCTGCCGCGCACCCCCCCCCCCCCCCGCAGCAGGTTTCTTCAGAGTCTGTTAAGCACCCACTGTGTGTGCTCTGCCCTGGGTGCAGCCCTGCCGTAAAGCGCCTGGCGATGCCCAGGTGACCTGGCCGAGAGCGCCATAGTCAGGGCTGTTGGGTAACACTTCTAGAATCCCCGGGACGTTAGCTAGCCAAGCATGAGCGCAGCTTTCTCTCAGACTTGCCTAGGATTTTAGCTGTAATTCTCCTCCCGGAGGAAGCCCTCATTCCCGTGAACCATCCCATTCATCCTGAACTCTGGAATTCGAGTCATTTCTGGAACCAGAATGGACTCACCTTGTAGAAAGCCAAAGGTCTACACCAGGAAGAGAGGATATTTGGATGGTTCCTTTTATGGCCTTCTGAGAGGAAGAGGAAGAGCAAATGGTGTGTGTGTGTGTGTGTGTGTGTGTGTGTGTGCGTGTGTGCGTGTGTGCGCGCGCGCACGTGTGTGTGTGTGTGTGCACATGTTACGTACATATATGGTGTGTATATATAAAGTCCATATGTTAATTGTGCATGACAAGGAGAGCTAATATGCAATATGGAGGAAAAATCCATGTGCTTTTGAATCATGAGAGCACAGGGTAACATGTGGTAAATAATAGGGAAAGAGCTCATTTGAACCTGTCTGGTTCTTCACAGGGACCTCAAGGGCAGCTGCAGAACGGAGGGGCTGAGGAGGGGGTGCAGACCTCTCCTCCCAGCTCATCTAAGATAGCTTTGTTTTGTTTATTTTTATTTTTTAAGTTTATTTATATATTTTTGAGAGAGAGAGAGAGCATGAGTGGAGGAGGGGCAGAGAGAGGGGGAGGGAGAGAATCCCAAACAGGTTCCGCACCGTCAACGCAGAGCCCGGCAGACTTGGGGCTCGGTCCCATCAGCTGTGAGATCCTGACCTGAGCCGAAATCGCGAATTGGACACTTCGACCGAGCCACCCAGGTGCCCCTAAGACAGCTTTGTTTTATATGTTGAACAGAGAAATTTTTTCTTAGAAAAGGTTAGGATTCTACCCTCTTTCTAAAAAATTTTTTGAATGTTTATTCATCTTTGAGAGACAGAGCATGAGCAGGGGAGGGGCAGAGAGAGGGGGAGACACAGTTTGAAGCAGGCTTCAGGCTCCGGGCTGTCAGCAAAGAGCCCAACGCGGGGCTCAGACCTACCAACGGCGAGATCATGACCTGAGCTGAAGTCAGATACTTAACCAACTGAGCCCCCCATGCGCCCCTAGGATCCTACCTTTAAGGAGGGAGGGAGGGAGAGAGGAAGACAGGCCTGCAAGCAGACAGATCAGCTTGAAAACCAGTGGTAAAAAGGAGAACATCTCCCAGGCATTACTACGAGACCTGGGGCTGCCAGGGTCTGTTCTCACTGTGTGAATGTGGGCAAATCACTTCGCTTGTTGGGCCCTCAGCTTTCTTGCAGGAGAGAATGGTAGTGTTGGAACCATGCCTTCCCCCGTGCCATGCAGTGCTGTCGTGAGGACTAAGAGAGATCACGTGTGTGAATGTGCTTCTCACTTGAGAAGTGCTTTGTCAGTATAGACACTGATTTTTTATGTTTTCCTCTCTTCCTTCCCTGCAAGGAGTTCTTCTCTCCTCCTGTGGGGGTAGCTGACCGACGGAACATTGGTGTCTCTGCCACCATATACAGTCAGTCAGGCTGGGCACCACGCACGGGAGCCCAGGCAAGGAGGGCAGGTGGGAGCTGAACTCTGGCTCATGCTCTGTAAGCCACAAGACCTGGCTCAGGAAGGAAGCGGCGGGGGGGGGCGGGGGGGGGGTGTCTCTCTAATTTGCACTACAGCATGTTGGGGCTGGCTGAGGCCTTGGCAGTGACATGCATTCTTTTTCTATGGAGGTGGAGAAAAGGGATCCAAGTATGCATTTCCAGCTCTGCTCCTCACTGCTTGCCAATCTTAGAACAGTCCGTGGGCTGCTCTGGGAGAAGGAGGAAAAGCTCGCTGTGCAGACATCTGTCAGCACCTTCAGAGAGCTGTTAGATTGCTCCACGCTCCCTTTCATCTCCTCTCGTGGAAACTCGGGGTGATCTAGCTGAGCAGCCCTTGATTAAATAGAAAAGTGCTGCCCTTCTGAAATATCACTGTCCCCTGTCCAAGTGGCAAAAATTTGAAAGATTGACAGCACTCCATGGGCAGGACTGTGGAAAAGAAGCATTGTCCTGTGTTGCCAAGTAGGAGTATAGTGCAGGCCCAGTGGGGAGAGGATTTGTCTCTATCTAATGAAACTATGTATACATATGCTCTTTGACCCACGATCCCACTTCTAGGACATGACCAGAGACACACCTCCACAAATACAAAAACACCTGCACAAGGCTATTTGTGGAGGCATTATTTGTAATAATGAAAGGTTGGAAAGAAGCCACACATCATGGGAGATTGGCTGACTAAATCATGGTCGATCCATGAAATAGAGTACTTTGCAGCCGTTTAAAAAAAAAGAAGAGGGGCGCCTGAGTGGCTTAGTCGGTTAAGCGTCCGACTTTCGCTTAGGTCATGATCTCGCGGTTCGTGGGTTCGGGCCCCGCGTCGGGCTCTGTGCTGACTGCCAGCTCAGAGCCTGGAGCCTGTTTCAGTCTGTGACTCCCTCTCTCTCTGACCCTCCCCTGCTCTCGCTGTCTCTCTCTCTCTCTCCTAGAAATAAATAAAACATAAAAAAAAAATTTTTTTTTAAAAGAAGAATCAGGAGGATCTCTATGAACTGATATGGAGGGATTTGTAGTGTTTATTGTGAAGCAAAGAAACAAGTGTATGCAGCAATATTGTATACTGCTTACATTTGTGGAAAAAGTGAAGGGAAATAAAAAATTCGTATGTATGTTATTTACTTAAGAGGGCAAACCAGCAACTAATGAAAATGGTCAAATGTAAGGTATGGAGGGAAGAAGGATAAGAGTAGGACTTGTCTGCATGCAACTTTTCATGTGTTTTTGGCTTTTGGACAATTTAAATGCTTTATATTTTCAAAATTACACATTTAAAAAAAAAAAGGATTTCTAAAAAAAAAAATCAATCCCTGAAATTGAATATAAGTAGAAACAAGCTGTGTATCGAATTGATCATCACACAAAGAGTAACTTTTGGACATATGCGCTGGTTATACATTTTTAACAGCTTTATTGAATTAGATACCATAAAGCTCACCCATTTTTAAAGTGCACACGTTAGTCATTTTAGTGTATTTACAGAGATGTATGATCATCACCCTAATTCAGTATCAGAAATTTTCATCATTCTCGAAAGGAACCTTGTCCCCATTTGTAGTCACTTGCTATTCCTCCTATATCTCAGCCCCCCACAGTAGGCAAGCACTAATCTACTTTCTGTCTTCTGACCATACATCTTTAGTGGGATACATTCTTAGAACTAAATCTACCCCCCTCAAAAAAAAAAAAAAGCCCCTGCAAAGAAATCTTAAATTTTATAGTGGTGATGTTGCTATTCAAATTTCCAAACTGTGTTATGTATATTGTAGAATAAAGCAGATAACAATGTTAGTGTTATTCAGAACCAAAATTTTCACTAAGAAAAATGAAGTGCAAATATAAAATAAAGTAAGGTAAAGATAAAATTTTATGTTGAATATGAATTGGAAATAACTATGTGAACTCATGAAAAAATGATATGTATTCTTGCTCTATCTCCTGAAAAGGTTTAGCAGCTCTCTGTAGCACTCCTTTACCAATGAGCACACCTGGAGCTTAGATCTTGGCTTCTAATTACCATTCCCTACAGAAAAGCAAACAGATCTCCTTGGAGCAATGTTTGATTCCAGATCTGGGTCAAGGAAGGTACAAGGTGATCAGTGGACATCTTTTGTGCCATAAAGCAAGGAAGTGCTCAGTGGAGGTCACATATAAAGGACATTTGTCCCTGGCAAAATTAGAGACAATCTGAGCATTCCAAATAGTGATAATAATGGATTATGACACATTGAATTAGAAATTACAAAAACAATCCCTTAAAGATGCTAAATAATAACAATAATAAGTAGAAGAGGAAGTGAACATGGGGAAACCTCTTCTTTATGGAAGAATGCCAGCTAATAAATGTAGAAGAAATTAGAAAATCACCATTTTGCAACCGCAGGATAATAATTGATTCAGGCAAAAATCATCAGTGGATGTTAACGTGTTAACACCAGTAGGTGAAACATGTTGAGCACAATGACATGTACATAGATCACTTGTCTACTTCAAATATAGTTTATATTCTATACTTATTTTTACAAAAGGAAAGTAAACCTTTGCAGTGCAGAAATCTAGAGGTCACTCAATCCACTGATCACACTTAGTACCACCAGTAGCAAGACAGGCTGATATTATGTGCCTCTGGATACAATAAGGTGTCTACAACACTCATGTACAATTTTTGCCAAAAATGTTTAACTTAAATCAAATCTTGAGGAGACAGTAAGACAAATCCAGGGTGGGAGGCATCCTATAAGGCAACTGGCCTAGACTCTTCAGAAGGGGCAATATTCTAAAAAAGCTACGACAAAAAAATATATTGAGGTCTCTTTTACATTCAAAAGACTAAGGTGGGGCACCAGGTGGCTTCGTTGGTTAAGTGTCTGACTCTTGATTTTGGTTCAGGTTATGATTTCGTGGTTGTGAGATCAAGCCCTATGTCCATGCTGGGCATGGAGCCTGCTTAAGATTCTCTCTCTCCTTCTCCCTCTGCCTCCCCCCACCCCCAAAAATGAATAAATAAATAAAATAAACATAAGACTAAGGAGTCATAACAACCAAATGAATTGTGGGAATGTTGATTAGATCTTAGCTCTTGAAAAAAATCTATGAAAGACATGGGGAAATTGGGAATATCTGAATGTACATGAGATGGTGTTTTGGAACCATTGTTAATTTTTTCTTAGATGTCATGATACCGTGTGGTTATGTAGGAGAATATCCTTATTCTTAGGAGAAATGGATTGAAGTATTTAGCAGTGATGTGCTATGATATCTACAAAATACCCTCAAATCATCGAGAAATAATAAATACAAGTAAAGAAAGCATGCAGATATGGCAGAAGATGAGTGTAAGTTAATGAGTGTGAGTGGTGACAGATGCTCAGTGTTTTAGTTTTACAGTATTGCCATAGATTTTAATATTTTCAAAACTAGTTACAGGGAGAAGGGCTGGGCCAGGCCATCCCTTCTGCCATCAGCACATGTCCCCCCCTTACCCAGCTGAGTCATCACCTACTGTTTCTTCTCAGGTGAAGATCCCCTTGTGGATGATCAAAATGAACGTGATATCAATTCAGTTGCTGGTGTTTTAAAACTGTATTTCCGAGGACTGGAAAATCCACTCTTTCCTAAGGAAAGGTTTCAAGATTTGATATCTACTATTAGTAAGTATTTCCCAGGTGGAATGGTGGAATGACCCACACTCTTCGACATATCTTTATTGAAGTTGTACTATGGGCTCATCACTGTGAAGGGAGGGGGGTACTACGAAAGAAGCAGTATGGTCCTTGTTCACACAGAACTTAAAAGCTAGTTGTAGAGATAACAGGATACTGGAAAATGGCATGGTACAGCCCTGGGTATGAATGGCGCTTGGAGAAGAGGCAGAGGAAGGCTTGGTTTTGCAGATCGCAGCTGAGGGAGGGATGTGAGCAGAGCCTTCCAGGAGGAGCAGACAGAGTATCCTGAGAAGAGTTTGGGGACACACAGACCAATGGGACCAGCGGAAGGGTGTCCCAGGGTAAAATAGAGGGTAAAATAGAGCAAGAGAGGTGAGACCTTGCAAGGATTTGGAGCCTTTCCCCTTGGGTGATGGGGACACACAGAGGGTTTGGGAGTCAGGCCAGCCCAATGACATACAAGGAAAATGGTGAAAATAAGTTGACTGTGGGCTTCTTCCAAAGTCACGAGCCATATCTTGACAGGTATTTCTATAGATGAAGGCGAGAGCCCAATCTAGGGGGCTGAAGTAAAGGCACCTTGACTGTAAGATGGCCAAACCCAAGGCAACATTTTGGGAATTTTTAAACATAAACTTTTAAATATTACAATATGGAAATCTTAGTGTTTCAGAATAAACTCTTTAATTGATTTACGGAAAATTGCCCCACACCCAGTGTTATGAGGGATACTTCTCACAGTGCTCTGAGAGAGATTTGCAGCCAGGAAAGGGCCCCTGGGGGCTGGAGGCTTCAAGCCTCTTACCTGCCTGATGTAAAAGAGCCTTCCTCTGCCCTTCCACCCTCCACACTACCTCCTGCTCATCTTTTCAGATCCACTTCTAGCTGTAAATCACCCTCAGAAATTCCAGACCACGGGGGCATCCGGGTGGCTCAGTCAGTTGAGCATCCAATTCTTGATTTTGGTTCAGGTTGTGATCTCACTGTCGTGAGACTGAGCCCTGACTTGGGCTCTGCACGGGGCGTGGAGCCTGCTTAAGATTCTCTCTCTCTCCTCTTTCCCTCTAACCCTCTCCTGCTTGCATCTATGTGCTCGCTCGCTCGCTCTCCCCACCTCTCTCCCTCTCCCTCTCACTCCCTCTTCCTGACCCTCTCTCTCCCTTCATCCCTCTCCCTCTCTCAAAAAAAGAAAGAAAGAAAGAAATTCATTCCAGGCCACAAGGGCCCAGCCCAGTCTGAGCCCCATGTCACATGCTCAGCTAGTGTTTCCAGAAGCCACATTAGTCTAGTTCCTGAGCAGAGCCCTGAGCAGACAAGGTGGTTCACCTCTGGTACAAGCTCAGAACATCACATACCATGGATCGCACCTCACATCACCCTGTGGAAAAAGAAATCCCTTCTCATTTCCCTCCCAAATGCTGTGACTACTTCAAGGAGAAAATTCCAGAGGTCCGTCTCCCTTCTAAACACAGAGAGGGGGCCTCCGTCTGACATGTTTGTACAGTACGATGCCTACCTGTAATTTAGTAACTTGTTTTGCTTTCATTGTCTATTTTTATGCTACCTCCTAATTATAGCAAGTGTTCCTGGTTTCCCATTTACAGAGGGAGGTAAACTTTCCTTTTTAAATATATGGATTTAAGAAAAAAATGTATTTAAGTGGAGGTGGTACTGGGGCGGTGATGACTGAAGCTAAGGACACGGAGCAGCCTGGATCGAGGGCAATGGAATCAATAAAGGTCCAGAAACTCTTAGTTCTGTGGGGGGCTTGGCCACGGCTTCTCAGTGCCAGACTCTGAAGGTAGGCTAGAGTGTTCTGGGCAGAGTAGAGACACCACCAGTGCGTACAAAGGCCCAGGGGCAGGAAGGCCCTCTGTGAGAGGGAGATGGTGGATAGGGCAGCCTGGCCAGGGGTTCTCAGGGGGGACACTATTGGTATTTAGGGGAGTGCAGTGCCTTGCTGTGTGTCCCATACATTCAGGACACTTGACGCCTTGGCCCCTGGATCCGAAATGCACCCTGCAGTCACTGTGACAACCCCCAAGGATGCCCCATAGAATCGTAAATGTCTAGAAGTGTGCACTACCACCTCATTTGAGAAACATGGCTCTGTATCATCTTCAGATACTCCAGGAAGGGGTAGCAGCTGAGAGGTGAGACAGGCGAGGTTCGTTGAAGCCCCACGGTGAAAAGCCTGAGATACAGAGGAAAAACCAGAGAAGTCGCATTTTATTTTTTTTTCAAGTTTATTTATTTATTTTGAGAGAGTGTGTGTGAGCAGGGGAGGGGCAACGAGAGAGAGACGGAATCCCAAGCAGGCTCCGTGCTGTCAGTGAAGAGCCCGACGCACGACTTGAACTCACAGACCGTGAGCTCATGACCTGAGCCAAAACCAAGAGCCGACGGTTAACTGACTGAGCCACCCAGGCGCCCTAAGAGAGGTTGCACTTTAAAAGGAACGTGCTGACAGATGTGGAGGCTGCAGAGAGGGGCTGTGTGAGAAAAACATGTTTTCTGAGAAAGAACCTGGCATAGGCTTGCCCACTGGCCCTGCAGACAAACGTCGGAGCTCTGGTGCTCACCCTCCAAGCCAGCTTTCCCCCTGCACACCCTCTCCACCAGGCAAACCCACACAGCACTTCTCTCTACCACGCCCAATTTGCTGCTCCCACCCCTGGCCTGACTGATACAAATACCAATGTCTCTGCCTAGGACTGACCTGAAGACGGGCGTGGGCGGTCCGATCGCAAGCATCTGCGAGGCCCGTTGGCCAATACATAGCTGTCGAGTTGGTTATTTAGTCAACCCTCATTTCCAGCCTACTTTGCACCGTGCCTGTGTTTCGCAGGCGTCAGGTGACAGAAACTCAGCCTACACCGGATTCGTTCATAAAAGGGAATGTACTGGGGCGCCTGGGTGACTTAGTCGGTTAAGCATCCGACTTTCGCTTAGGTCATGATCTCGCGGTTCGTGGGTTCGAGCCCCACGTTGGGCTCTGTGCTGACTGCCAGCTCAGAGCATGGAGCCTGTTTCAGTCTGTGATTCCCTCTCTCTCTGACCCTCCCCTGCTCACGCTGTCTGTCTCTCTCTCTCCTAAAAATAAATAAAACATTAAAAAAATTAAAAAAATAAAAGGGAATGTACTGACTCACATTCTTGCCCTGTGCGGCCACGTCAGGGTCACCTGTCAATCCCCAGAACCACGTGGACTGATTGAGGAGCAAATGTTGGTTGTACTTGGCTCTCTGAGGACGAAAGACAGCCTGAAAAGCCCCCTTTATGTTACAGAACTGGAGAACCCGGCTGAGAGGGTGCACCAGATCCAGCAAATCCTCATCACCCTTCCCCGCGTGGTCCTAGTGGTCATGAGATATCTCTTCGCTTTCCTCAACCAGTGAGTTGCTCGGCCAAGGGGGTGGCGGGGGGGACTCTTTGCCTCAGCTCTGGCCTCCTTTGGGAGGGGGTGTCCTGAGGCTTCTGCAGGTGCAAAACAGAACATGGAACCCTCCTGGAGTTGAGTAGAGCCCTCAAAAGACAGAACCCACAGGGGGGAAGATTCACCTTTCTCGGGTGACTTGTGAGTACCTCCTTTCTTGTAGCCTCTCGCAGTATAGCGACGAGAACATGATGGACCCCTACAACCTGGCCATCTGCTTCGGGCCCACCCTCATGCACATCCCTGATGGGCAGGACCCCGTATCCTGCCAGGCACACGTCAATGAAGTCATCAAAACCATCATCATCCATCATGAAGCCATCTTCCCCAGCCCCCGGGAGCTAGAGGGACCTGTGTATGAAAAATGCATGGCTGGAGGGGAAGAATATTGGTAAGATTTCATTCCTCTTAATATTATTATTATCACCATCGCTGTTGTTTTTGCTGTTGGACAGGAACAGTAAGAAATCCTTCGATTTTCTTACTGCTTTATTGTCTGTACTCCCATATGCATTTCCTCATTTGAGCTTTGCTGCAGCTTTATACAAGACATAGTTACATCAGCCAGGACTCTCTCGGTTTGAAAGAGACAGAGCTACAACTCAAACTGGGCTAAGCTAAGTGGGAATCTTTTGGTTTACTTTACTTAACTAAAAAGTCTAGGATTACAACTTCAGGTATAGCTGGATCCAGGGGTTCAACTGTTATTATCAGGAATTCATCCTGTAACCCGCAGCCCCTGGCTCTGCTTTCTTCTGCATTGGCTTCATTCTCAGGCAGCCTCTCTGTTGGTGGCTTCAGGAAGGCATACGGTAACTCCAGATTTTCGAGAACATTCTCTCAGCGTCCCCGGTGGAAAAAGACCTTCTCTTTCTCAAGTGTCCCAAAATAAATCCAAGAAGTATATCCCCTTGCTGAGGCATGGGTCTGGTGAGCTAATCCCATTAGTTAGAAGATGCAAAGCTGTCAAGGGCCAGATGTGTCTCAAGCCCTTCAGAGGCAGCAGGGGACTGGATAATAATCCCCACCTCAGCCTCTTGAGAAACAATTTCCCTTTTCCAGACAAAGTGAGTTCACATTTTCCAGACAAAGTGAGTTCACATTCTTTGAGAGCTCCGGGCCAGGTCAGCACTTGACAGTGGGGTACTTGTGTGTCCCTGGTACCACACAAGGTCTTGGGAAAAAAATTTAGAACCTAATCAAAATCATGGCAGACCGCCTTCCCCAGACTAAGACCGTAAAACGTGGCGAAGAAAGGACGTTTTTTTTTACATGTGGAGGAGACAGGAGAACAGAACCCCACCTGACAGAGACCCGTCAGCGGATTCCTATTCATTCTTTATTCTCAATCCCGGACGACGCACAGCTGTATATTAGGTGTTACCCACACTGCTTTCCGCTAGGGGCCCACAGGGGAGTTTGTCTCTGGGTTATCAAAGCATTCCTGAACTCTTGATTCACTTCAAAGAAGAGACACTCCAGCCCCTTTGTTTCCTCCCCGTCCCCCATAGAAATGTGGGCCCGGCTGGCTTGCAGTCACAGCCCTGGAGTAGGCTTTCTGTGAGGCTCCGGGAGCAAGTCTGTCCCCGTTCCTTCCGTAACAGAGACATTAAACAGCCAGCAAGCACACTTTCTGGACAAAGAAAGCTTTTCACGCAGCGTTTGCCATCGTTACCACTTCTCTTTTCTTGCCGCAGTATATATAATTTGTGTCCTGGGAGGGGTCCTCAAGATCGGTTGTACTTACCGAAGAACAATATACAATAACCACACTTTCCTCAATCCCATTTGTGTCTCATGAGGAAGGAAAACTATTACGTTGGAAGCATTTGCAAAGCCAAAAGGGGGGATTTGGCCGAGGGTCTCCTTGGAGTGGACAACGTTCATTCATTCAGTTAGACAAATGGTTGCCGAGTGTCTGCCCTGGGCCAGGCCCTGGGCAGGGGGGCAGGGATGTAACCCGAGCAGGATTAACCCCTGATGCAGGGAGCTTTGGTGGAGGAGGAAACCGGCAGCTCCAGAAGTGAGGCTCCTTGAGCCGATGTAGCGAGGTCAGGAAGGGCTTCCTGGAGGAAACTTAACTGAGGTGGGATGGACTGGAGTCAGCCAGGTGAGGAGTGGGCAAAGAATGTTCTGGACTTGGAGCGTTCAGTACAATGGACGGTGGTTCCCTGTGGCCAGAGTGTTGCCTGTGTCAAGGGAATGGTGAGGGAGAATGCTTCACAGGCCAGCAGGAGCCAGGTTATGAAAGGTCTTAAACAAGCCAGTGTGCCAAGTCTGGACCTTATTATCCAGGAGGCAATGGAGAATTTTCATAATGAAGTTCATGTTCTTTCAAATGGCATTGCAAATGTCACCTCCTCTGAGAAGCCCTCCCTGACCACCCTATGCAGGTCCCCTCAGCTGTTCTTGTCTCTGCTCATTTGTTCCTACATAACACATTTTGGCTTGTGGCAGTTTTATTTCCTGGCCCACGAGGGCAGAGTCTGTGTCCACCTTCCCCATCAGTGCGTCTCTCCTACCTCCCACAGTGCCTGGCATATATTAGGACTCCATCAATGGCTCAGTCAAAAAAAACTGACTAGGTGAATAAACTGTGGCCTGAAGAAGCTTATAATCTAGCAAGGGGTAGCAGCTAGCGAAGTTCTCCCAGTGCATTAATACCCAGATCCGACCGGCCTGGATTCAGGCCACCCATCCCCATGCCCGTCACGGCTGCCAGCCTGCTTGTACCACCTGGGCTGGGCTTGTGCACACAGCATTGTGAGGCACCCGGAGAGCCCTGCTCCTTGGGAGCTTCCCTCCAGCTCACTCAGTGCGTCACCTCCTCTGTGAGACCCGGAAGCAGGCTCGGGGAGTGTCTCGCGGCACTTCCATAATCCCTTTCTGTTCTGGCCCGTGGTCCTTCTCAGGATAAATGCCAGGGTTTTACGGTGCCCTCTGGGTCTTACAGGACACCTAGGAATTGGCAGCCCAGCAAATTCCAGGGCTGGGGGAAGCAGGGGGAGGTTACTCGGGATGGCTTTCCATTGAGGGGGCTGGGAGTGGTTTTCTATTAGGAGTGTCCGTGGGTGGTCAGAGGGATAAGACAAGACAGGGCAGGCTCGCGGCTGACCTGGGTCAAGTGCAGAGCTGGGCTGGGTGGCACTTGCGGGGAGCTGAGGACTGTGTGAGGGTGCAAAGCCCAACGAGTCCCCTTCCCGTGTTTCCTTGCAGTGACAGTCCACATAGCGAGCCAGGAACTATCGATGAAGTTGACCATGACAATGGCACGGAGCCTCACACCAGTGACGAAGGTGAGTGAGGGGGACTCTGGGGCCAAGGAACTCACCCGGGGCCTCGCATGCCGACTCGGGCCTGCGCAGCCGCTGGGCTGGCCCGCACACCCCCTCCAGCTTTGCCAGCCAGCACCCTGTCCTCCAGAATAGAGGGCGGCCCAGAAAGACATCGGAGACAGGGCCACCCCCATCACCACGCTCCTGCCGGCCTGTCTCCTCCCTTTCTGTGTCCTGCCTGGCCCGAATGTAAATCCTAAGTGACAAGAGTTTGCTGCGTAGGAAGCATGCATTGTCCCCTGTCCGTCCCCAGCCAGGGATCTGTGCTGGCACTTGAGGTACTTCAGTGAAGGACACATGAGTCATTGAGGAGCTCCCAGTCTCGTTACCACGTTGGGGGCAGCTCCCCATGACACACAGAAATTATGCCCAGTGACAGCTGTGTCCCCAGTGTGGGGGCACCTCAAAGATGAAGCTGAGCAGTGATGACCCAGGGAAGTGCTGGAGGGAGACAGGGAAAGGCTGGCCTGGGCTTTGAGGGACTCGTTGGACACTCCACCCCTTCTAGAGAAGGAGAAGAGAGTTGGGGAAACTGAACCGTGTAGACAAGCATTGGGATAATACGGGCCCAGTGCCAGTGAACCCATTAGATAGAACAGACACAGAGCCCGGGCCCATGGTACATTTGAGGACCCCTGAAAATGTTTTGGTGTCATTTAAAATAGTGAGAAAAAAGGAATATGATCCAGTCTGGATTGTATTCATCTTTATACCAATGCAGTTATAAAATATAATTTTTAACTTTTTTTTTTTACATGGAGGAAGGGACCCAGGCAAGAAGCAAAAGTTCTTGGGGCCCATGAAAGTCATAACATAATCCTGTGTAGACCAAGCGTAGCCCTCCTTTCTCCCGCTGATGGTTTTACTTTTTAAAAATCGTTATTTAGCAGCTTTCTTCTGGGCTTCTGCGTTTCCCTTTGGGACAGTCCCAGGCCCTGTTGCCAGGAGAGCTGGTATGTTCTCAGGTGTGGTTTCTGGGAGCTGGTGAAAGACCCCGCAAGACTGATAGGGAGGTTTTCACATGCTAGTAGGGCTGCTGCACTTGCTAACGACAGATACTCCAAGTCAAAGTGCCTTAAGCATTAAAGGCCTCAGATCATACACCTGAAAAATCCCAGGTTAGGTATAGCTTCAGGCATGGCTGGATCCAGGAGCTTAGTTGGTCTTCTTAGGAGTTTGTCTCCATCTTCCTGTTCTGCTTCCCTGTGTGTTGGCTTCATTCTCACATAGGATCTTCCTGGGTGGTGGTCTTTGGCATTTCCAGGCTTTCACTGTGCTTTCATCCAAAGTCCCAGTAGAAAAGAGCTTCCTTTTCATCATGGTCCCAAGAAAGCTCCTGGGTAGAGTCTCATCAGACTGCCTTGAGGCACGTACCCAGCCAAGGACCAGTCACTGTGGCCCACGAGGGAGCTCACGAGTCAGGCCTGAGCCACGGCTGTGGAGGAGCAGATCTGGGTGTAACGCTCAGCTCTGCCAGAATCCACAGAGGCCAGAGCCGTCCTGAGCTGAGGACGCTGCCCTGCAGAGCCTTTGCCAGGAGATGTGAAGGCTGCCACCGTGTGCGTGTTGACAGCGACTTGCGCTTCTCTTTCCTTCTTTTCTGTCTCCTGTCCTGCTGCCTCTGGCTCTCCCTCTCCCTTCTTGCTGTCTCCATCTGTTGCTTTATTTCTGCGTGTGCATGTGTGCGTGTGTGTGTGTGTGTGTGCGCGTGCGCGCGCGTGTGTAGCTCCCTCTTGTTCCAGATCTTGCCCTCAGTCTCTCTTCTTCCACTGGGGGAAGACATCTCTTGTCCGATGAGATGACTGACTTTTCAGAATTAAGTAAGATGTGTGGGGACTGCAGCCGGGGGAGGGGGATGTGTCTGCAGGAGGGGGGCCCCATGCCTTCTGAGAACCCCGCAGCCCGCCCTCCTGGGGGCTGAGGTCTCGGCCAGTCACCCTGCCCGTGCTGAGTCTCCCCGCGGCCCCTCAGCCTGGGGGGTGGAAGGCTGCCATGGGCCCTGAGAGTGGGAGGAGGGACACAGAGAACAGTCTTGCTGGGCAGGCGAGGCAGCAGCCACGGGGCTCGCCCAGCAGGCCTCACCCCACACCAGGAAGACCCCCCTCAGAAAATGCTGCCTCACTCCCCGCAGCGTAGAGGCTCACGATATCCCTGGAGTGGGGTAGGTCAGAGCTTCTCGTCTGCTTCCCCGGAGGGTCCCTTCTTTTTTTTTCTTTATGTTTTTAAATATGTATTTATTGTTGAGAGAGCAAGAGAGACAGACTGTGAGCAGAGGAGGGACAGACAGGGAAGGAGGCCCAGAAGTTGAAGCAGGCTCCAGGCTGTCAGCACAGAGCCCGATGTGGGGCTCAAACCCACGAACCTTGAGATCATGATGTGAGCTGGTCAGACACTTAACCGATTGAGCCACCCAGGCACCCCTAGAACGTCCCTTCTGTTCCCTGTCAGGCTGCTGGTTTCTGAGAACGACAAAGGCAGAAAGAGATCATCCTGGAAGGGCAGCAGCCAGCTTCAGGAGAGCTAGGTTCACACTCCCTGAAGGTTCTCACTGCTTCCTGTGTGGCGGTGGTGGCTGCTGACGCAGGAGCGTCCTTTGGAGGAAAATTCAGTGCATTTCCTAAATGCTTATGCACAAGCCTGCCCCAACCACCAAAACAGTTGCAGGAATGGGACGCCTGGGTGGCTTGGTCGGTTGAGCGTCCGACTTTCGCTTAGGTCATGATCTCGCGGTTCGTGGGTTCGAGCCCCGCGTCAGGCTCTGTGCTGACTGCCAGCTCAGAGCCTGGAGCCTGTTTCAGTCTGTGACTCCTTCTCTCTCTGACCCTCCCCTGCTCACGCTGTCTCTCTCTCTCTCCTAGAAATAAATAAAAAATATTAAAAAAAAAAAAAAAAACAGTTGCAGGAACAGTTGACGGGGTGCCAGACTCTGAGAAAGGAGACCTGGATTTGAAAGTCAGAGAGAGAGACCTTCATGGCCCGTGATCTCTGAGGAGCCATGTAACCTTGTACCTCAGTTTCCTTATATGTAAGGTGGGAATGACAGCAACAAGAGACTTGTGGCCTAGGTTCAAACGGGGTGACATATGTGGAGAAGCTAAACATAGTGTCTGGGAAGACGAGGTAGATAGGAAATATTAAGACTGTGTGCCCAGTATAAATCCTTCCTAATTGTGATCATGAAACTGAGCCGGGGCACCTGGGCGGCTCAGTCTGTTAAGCATTGGAGTCCAGCTCAGGTCATGATCTCATGGTCTGTGGGTTCGAGCCCCGCATTGAGTTCTGTGCTGACAGCTCAGAGCCTAGAGCCTGCTTCGGATTCTGTGTCTCCCTCGTTCTCTCTGTGCCCCTCCCCCCCACTCATACTTTGCCTCTTTCTCTCTCTCTCTCTCTCTCTCTCTCTCAAAAATAAACATTAAAAAAGATGGAGTCTAGGGAGTTTTCTGATCTAACTGCTAAACCTCCTGATATCTTTACTTTCCTCTAAGACATTTCATTTGGGGAATCATGGGTATCTTTGTTTCTCTTGAGAACAGCCTTATGAAGGGTGCCCAGCAAACTTCAAAAGTCAAATCAGCCAAAAAGCCATGACCCCCGTGCCTGACCAACCAAAGTGGAGGGACATCTTAATTCCTTGGCCTTTCCTTTGTCAACATATTCTGTGCCTAACTGATTCCCGCTGCCCTGTCTTGAGTCTGTTAGCACTTCGTGGGGATAAGTCTGGACACTCCATCTGTGCTTACTCTTTGGTCGTCAAGATTTGTAAAGAAACCATGATTAGGCTAAGAACCCTTGACTGCCGGGTGTCTGGGGGCTCAGTCAGTTAAGCTTCTGACTTCAGCTCAGGTCATGATCTCATGGTTTGTGGATTTGAGCTTCGCAACAGCTCTGCACTGACAGTATGGAGCCTGCTTGGGATTCTCTCTCACTCTCTGTCTCTCTCTCTCTCTGTCTCTCTCTGCCCCTTCTCCAGTTTCACACTCTTTCTCTTTCTCTCAAAATAAAACCCCCGATTGTCAGAACTAAGCCAAATGAAAACATTGAGGCAGCCTGTCAATAGCAGCTTTATTAATTGGATGCTAAATGAGGAACGGGGCTGCCAGATAAAGAAACAACTAAAATCAGTAACAGAAACATGATCATATAGTTACAGTATGTCAGTTTTCAGTTATAACTGCACCATTATTCTCTCACTGATATTTTCCTAAAATTCTCCCAGTTGACTTCCACTCCTTGCCCACCATCTATATCTGGAAAGCCATTAAGTCATTAACTCTTTGGATGTATTGGGGGCCCATAAGTGGGCTTTAGGAGGTCCAGGGTGGGCAAAATTTTGTTTCTTTTGGAATGTGTGCCTCTGAGGAGAGGTCCCTAGTTTTCATCATGCTGTTCTAGGCATCTACTAGAAATCAGGCTAAGATTTCAGTTTGCTTGCAGTTCACGCCATTTCCTTTAATAATAATTTTGGGGCACCTGGGTGGCTCAGGCAGTTAAGCGTCCGACTTCAGCTCAGGTCATGATCTCCCGGTTCATGGGTTAAGCCCCACGTTGGGCTCTGTGCTGACAGCTCAGAGCCTGGAGCCTGCTTCGAATTCTGTGTCTCCTTCTCTCTCTGACCCTCCCCTGTTCACACTGCCTCTCTCTCTGTCAGAAATAAAACATTTAAAAAATTTTTTTAAATAATAATTTTAAAAAGGCCAAGCACACAGAAAAGTGGAAGTTTTACATAAAACCTATCACCTAGTTTCTACAATTGTTAACATTTTTTTACATTTGTTTTATTATGTATCTATCAATCCATCTTATTTTAGTACAAGTCAAAGTGAATTACAGCCATCATTACAGCCTCCCTCCAAACACCTTAGCGTGCAACACTGTACACAGCAGGGGTCAGCATTGTTTATGCGTCTTTTTTTTTGAAGTAAAATTCCATACGCTGAAATGTATAAATCTTTAAGTGTATC